AATTTTTTTATGAAAGGGTAGATATATGATATTTCAGGTCATATTTGCAACATGTGGTAGCTTTCTTTTTGAGTTAGATTTTTAATACATTAATGAATTTAAATTTGAGGATATGCGAGAGGAGAAATTCGATGGTTTAATGGAACCCCAAACCGGTTTTTGTATGATTATTTTAGATTAACCTTGTTCAAATAATATAATAATTGTTTAAATATTTTAAGCTATGGAATATTGCAGTACAACTGTATGTATTTGAATAAACCAGAAAATAAAATTGCAAAAATAAAACTCCTAATTTCTTCTTATTCTTTCTTTGTCAATTTTATTCTAGTGAGGTTGGAAAATATAACTCCCTTATGACTTGTATATTTAATTTATTTGTCTCATATCATTACATGTTGACTTTTCGAGACATATTTTCCTATCAGAACCATACATACTTTTCTACAATTCGAAAATCAATTTTAAATACCATGTTATATTATAAATTACAATAATTTAAAATATACTTTACATTTTCTGTTCTCCATTTGTTATTTTATACATTCTTTATTACTTTTCACACACCAAACACAGTCAAGGACGTTTATTTTGACCATTCATATAATTTTTTTTTTGTCTTAAACGTAATCAATTGTTAGTAAAAATAAATGTTGCCCCAGGCTTTGTTTAAATTATGAAAAGTGATAATATATATAATAACTGAGGAAGCACAAACACACAAAAACAAGGAAAAATTTATGTTACTTAAAAGTAATTTAAGTAAGTAATTTATAATAGAGTAAAAATGTATTTATAATTAATGCTTGAATTGCAGAAGTCTGTATGGTTCTGATAAAAAAATATTTCCCAATTTGTTAACAATGCAATATGTGTTCAAAAAATAAGTTAAATATACAAGACACAAGTAATTGATATTTTCCACTTTCACTAACATAATAAAAAAACATCCTCAAAAAAGAGGATATTATTTTTACAATTTTACTTTTTGTTTATTCAAATATATCTTACTCCATTTGTCGTTACAATCAATACACTGTTGTAAAATATTCTGTAATAATTTCTGCTTATCATTTGTCGTCATAGTTGTCAATATAGACATTATTAGAACAAGATATAAGAACTTCAGACAAGACACTTATTTGGACTTTGAAGTAAGTGGGAAGTATCAAATTCCCTTTCTCAATAACAAAGGTCCCACTTCTAGATATAGTCTTCAAACATATATCTATCTTTCTACTAATAAATTCTACTCACTCTAAGATATCTGATTCTAACTCGAAGACTTCAAATGAAAATCTTCCTACATAAGTTTTTTCACACATCAGTTTTATGCCATATTAGTCTCATACTCAGTTTGATTTCGCAGCTAATAATACAATTAAAAAATAAAAAATAAAGATAAATAACGTGCTTATCCAAATTTGAAAGATGGTATTGAAACCACACTGTAATGTAATTAATTTATACATAACAAAAAATTTTAATTTTACCTGGTTATTTGTCTTAAAAATATTAGTGGACTTTTAAATACAATTATAAAACTGTAAAGATTTCTTTAAAAACGAGGACAGTATACATATAAATTTAAAATACAGAATGAAAATATCCATGATTTTAGTCACAGCGTTTCTCTTTAACTGCTTATATATTATTTACTAGTTCCGTCTGATTTGTCACAAATATCGCTGAATTACCTAATTAATTAATTACTTATTGCTAAGGTTTATTTTAATATGCTACAATTTCTGTACACAAATATCTGTAGGAATCCTGATAAAAGAAGCTATGAAATTTTTAAGATGTATTATTCATTATTATATTTAGAAGAGTTTTAATAGAAATCGACAGATCAAAATTTTCTCTTAATTTAGAGACATTTAGTCCCCTATGAAAAAGATTTTACATTAAAATAACATTCTTCTGGCTGCATTGATAAAGACTAAATTATAAATTATACATAATAACGAATATGAATGCAAATTAAGATTATATATATATATATATATATATATATATATATATATATATATATATATATATATCTTAATTTGTATTCATTTGCATTATTATGTATAATTTATAATTTAGTCTTTATCAAGGCTATATAAATATATATATAAAATACATACAACTTTCATTGACAATTCTCCTTCACATGTACATTTATAATTGTGGAGATAAGTGATCTTTAAATTATGATAGTGAAGGAGCTTTACTTAAAAAATTAAGTAAAGGATCTTAACACTAGGTAATTTCGATTACAAAGGATTTTTCCAAAAGAAGCTGTAAGACGAGATATATAAATCTGAGGGTATAGAGTCTATTTAAGGGATGGATTGAAGAAGGAGTTTGCATCAAAATAATATCCTGAATTAACTAGCATCAACAAAACAATATTTCCTTGCAATTGCAGGAGGGTTCAAATGGAAAATTTATCCACCCTAACATCATTAAGAAAAAAATACGGCTGCTTTTAATATATTCTATAACCAATACTCTTGTCTATGTGATCAATACTATTACCAACTACGAATAAATTATTACTGTATTCATTAGACCACAAGAGGATTTACGGAGGGGGGAGGGGGCTTTCGGGCTGAAGCACCTCCCCCAAAACGGTAAAATATAACCATGTTTTATAAAAAAAAAAGTATTATTGTTCGTGTAATTACATTTAATAGGACTTCAAGAATCACTTCTTTCTTTCACTTTTTTTTCAAATTAATTATTGTTTTATGTATGAAAAAAAAAATCTTTGGGGCTGAGACCCTCCCTCCAAAAAAAAAATTAAATCTTGGATCAGCTAGTGCATTAGGTAGAGAACAATTAAAAAAGTGACTCACTAATTAGGAAATCAATCGTCGATGCAACAATAATATTAATCTATTAACTTGTCTGACTAGGACAATCGGTTTTAAATATATCTAGATACTAAATAGATAAAAAATCTGTTTATTACAATTTATCTCATGATCAAGGTAATACTAAATTCTGTGTTAACCCTCTGGTATCCTCCTAAAAATTAGTTCTGCATCGTAATTATATTGGAATTAAAACTAGATTCAATAAAAGAAATCTATAGGCAGGGACGGATTTAACATAAGAACTTCAGGAGGCGCGTATGCTTCCTTAATTAATATATCGTAACTTTTTCAACAAAAGTTAATAAAAAATCTTAAAAAATAGCAGAATAACTTTCAAAATAAAATCAAATGGTTATATATTATTAATTCATGAAATTTACAACTGTATACAAATAATTAAACATCCAGTACATGTGATAAAATAGCACGAAAAGACTTGTAGTGAATCTACCCATTAATAGTACTCGTCTTGATCAGGAGATCGAGGGGCTCTCTTCTTTTCAGACATCTTGGGAGAAGCTAGAGTAGAAAGGAGAAGTTTAAATTGGTTCTGAAGTTTATTATGGAAAGATAGGTATTTGGATTCGGTCAATTCGGAAACAAATGGAACATTGAGATCGTTATAGATGATTTTATTTGTAACAAAGTAAGGAGCATTGAGGATTTTACGATAGATTTTGGATTGTAAGGATTGGATATGGGTGGAATGCGATCCTTTAGTGGAGCCTTCCAGAGTTCAATTTCGCATGTCTAAATAGGCATTATTGTAGTCATGTGTATGAGTCTTTTGTAATTAATTGGAAGATTAGAGCGTTTGTCTAGTACGTGCTGAAGTAGTTAAAAACGTCGAACGGTTTCTTGTTTCAGTCTGGTATGAGGATTCCAAGTTAGACGTCTGTCCAGGTGGACTCCTAGGAATGCAAAATTTAAGCGGCCTTTCGTCTGTTAGTGTTTTTTTATCTTGGAAAATTTCATTCATCTATGTTACCTTTTTTGGGGGGGTGATAAATAGGCAGGAAGCAGTCATTATAAAAACTTTTTTATTTGTGGCAACGTTTCGACCCAAACAAACATGTGGGTCATCATCAGGGCGTGGTTCGAGCACTAGGTTGGATAGTTGGCTAATGTTTATAATGACTGCCTCCTGACTATATATCACCCATGATATGTAGAACAGTCGACTAGCTTCCTTCAATATGTCCTTCAATAGGTTACCTTTTATTTTACTCAATCAATGAACATTTCACCTCATTTTCTGCATCCTCCAATCTGGAATTGATATCTGATATCTTGAGATAATCCAATGTGGTCAACTATTTCCATACCCTTATTCCTGTATGCATTATAATTTTTAAAAACCCAAAATATTGTGATTTTAAGTATTTAGCTAAGATCACTTGCAAAAACAGATAATAACCAAAAATTAATTCTAAGTGAAACTCCTAGCTGGCACACCTGTAAGTCTCTAATTTTATTTACTTATTTATTTATTTTGTTTTCTTTTTTCATTTTTACTCCAAATTCCTTTATGTCTGTTATTTCATATTATATCCTTTTTCCTTTTCTTTCAATCTCTCCTGTAGATCTGTAGAAGTATATTTATTATATATTACACTACAACTATTGTTACCATCTATTTACTTTTTTTACATCTATTTACAGTTTAGGATCTTGTTACTTAGCTCACTCTGTTTATATTTTAATGTACTTACTGTTTATAATTTTAATAAGCTTATTCGCATTGTTTATAATTTTTTTGTCTAAATATTATGTAGCTTCCACAATGCTCCATCTTTTTGTATCTTGTCCGTTCTAGCCCTGAAGAAGACCTGCAAAGTCGGGTCGAAACGTTGGATTTTAATAAAATAGTTTTACCACTATTTAGCCTATTTATGACCGCCACCCCGGACCATATCCTTCCTTTAAAAAAGTTTCTACTTTTCAGATCGAAAGCCCCCTCCCCTTCCAGATCAGCCAGTGTAAGCTACTGAGGGATGGGACTCCTGCGGTTTTTACAGGAAATCGGGAAATAGTTTAAATGAAGTTAGATAGAGGGTGAGCATTATAAGTGACTAGGGAGCGATTGGGGCTGTGATTGCCTAGGGGGCGGGGGTGGGGAAATATTAAATCACCATGGGAGGGGGGGGGGGAGGCGGTTGGATGCTAAACGGAGCAAATGGCGAAGGAGGCCCCTACAGCACGCTGGGGACCCATTGTCGTAATTGCCGCTCCTACCCCACAACTCTCCCTTCTAGGCAAATTGGATGGGTGCCTGTTGCATTGTCAAACAAAACCTCCAACTGTTAACACCAATCACTTCTTCAAAACAACACCATTTATGGATTTCCTGTAATGCGATAATGTAAAATCCAACTAAGTATTTGACTGTTTATACCTTTCCAATTTTGTTTTGATAGATCTTGTCTGATACCGGAATATCGTATTAGGAGTTGAAATATTGTTTTTAATGAAACATAAAAGATTATTGTGGCTCAATCCAATTCATATGCAGATTGGATTGAGGTTGTAAATATTAAAAAATATATTGGCATATACATCGTATAGCTAGTTTTAATTTTTTTTTTCTTTTGCGATATGGCCAATGAAAGGCAGGCCTCCTCAACAATTTTGATCCTCTCATATCGACTCTCTACAGCTTCTCTCCAATGTCTCACACTCAAACGTCCAACCTCAGGTCTGCCTTTTAGTGTTGCCCAAAATCGGTCTTGGTCTTGTACTTTGCAAGACCAAGACCAAGGCCGCCTAATTGTTGCAAGACTGGTAAAAGGACTGGTAAAAAAATCGCTTAATTTTTTTAATAAAAATTAAGGCAGTTTATAGTCACTAATACTTGACAACCTTAGTTTCTTCTGTAAAGAATTGGTATAACCAATATACTTTTGCATTTAATTCCTCTAATTTCTCATTCGGGCTTAGTTAGGTTTCTCCTATCAAAAAACATTACAGTAATAAGCTAATACGTAACTCGCGACCAATACCATGAACAAGACTGAGTTTGCAAGAACAAGACTCGTCTCGGTCTCGCATTTGGGCAACACTACTGCCTTTACATCTTCCGTCTATGTTTGTGTTGTCTATGTTACATCTTGTTTTCTATGTTTGCCTGCCTCTTTAACTTTCTCCATCGGGGTGCCGTTCCAATGGTTTTTTGATTCATACGATATACATGGATCAGCCGTCTCATTTATTTTCGGAAAAGGAAAAATGATTTATTTCATTAGTCCATATTTCTTACTGTGGATGATCTTAGGTAAATACTTAATCAAAGTTCTATTTTTTAAATTATAATGCTTTCACAGCTACTAAGCATAACCACGTCTCATGAAAAATATATAAAAAAATTATCTCTTTATTCAAAAAGTATTGTTGTTCGTGTAATTATTTTTTTTTTTTGTATATTGGTCTCAAGAATCATTAACACATCATCTCATATAGGTAGTTTTTTTCTTTTTCTTCCTAAGTTATAATCGTTTTATTTATATATATATATATATATATATATATATATATATATATATATATATATTGTGTGTGTGTGTGTGTGTGTGCTTTCGGGTTGAAGCCTTCCAAAAGTATATCCTGTATATGCTACGATTTGCTGTTCGTTTTCCATTCCGTTTGTTGTTACCGCTCGAGCATTTCCATCTTTATATATTATATATATTCATAATCTTTTATAGTGTTGCCCAAATGCTAGACCGAGACGAGTCTTGGTCTTGCAAACTCAGTCTTGATCTAGTTCTTGGATTAGCTTAGTACTATATTACTATTACTGTACGATATTACTGTATTTTTTTAGATAAGGAAAACATAACTAAGCCCGAATGAAAAATTAGAAGAGCTAAATGCAAAAGTATATTGGTTATACCAATTCTTTACAAATGGTATCTAAAATTGTCAAGCATTAGTAACATTTCGGATTAATTTTTATCCAAAAAATCGATTTTTGTTACCAGTGTTTGTCTTTGTCTTGCTAAGTGCAAGACCAAGACCGATTTTGGGAAACACTAATTTTTTAGTATTAATTTCAATGGCTGAGCCGCTGATGTTCGTTTTAAATGATTTATTTAAAATAATGTACTAAGAATAACAATTTACTAATACACTATATTCGAATGATTTTTTAATTGATAATTTTCCTTAATCATATCAGCTATATCAAATAGCTATAAATTTTAGCCTTCTTTTAAAAGCATTATAGTGTTTAAATAAGGAAATTGATTATTAAATTCAAATGTGGACGGGTACGTCGATGGTTTCCGCCTACACGTCCATGGCACATCAGCTTTAGCGGGTCCAAAGGAAATTTACCTGCAAGTATTTTTATCTGGTGTGTAGTGGATTAAGGGAGCGGTGTTGTGGCTATCTGAGATGAAAGGGGCCGCTGCTTGTCATCGTAGCCGACTCCTAAGCCCCCTTATCGGCATCGGCTCAGCCTATCATCTCTTCGTCTTCCAGCCGACCTTAAACCTCTGTACCAATAGACCTCCTCTATTGTTCAATATAAACTAGATCAATGACGTATGAGTGTATAATTATAGACTAGATTCCAAAATTAGTTATTCTTCTCTACCGATAGAAGTCAACATGGGGGTACGCAGGGAGGGTGGAGAGCGGTTACCTCCTCTCCTCCCAAACAGTTAAAAAAATAAAATACAAAAGATTCTCCACAAATCCGAAAAAAAAATAATTTTAAACAATTTTTGATGTATTTCTTTATTGTTTCATATACAAATATTTATAAACTGTAATAATAATAGACTAGTTCATATAATATTTTGACATCACTTATCTACACGAGATTTTCCTCATTCATTCTTGCCCAAACTAATATGAAAGCTGCCTTCAAAAATTTGATGAACATCGATTGATATTCAATTTAATGAACCAATAATAGACACTTTACTGATAAGTCTTCAACTCATTAACAAGTTTTTTACGCCTTATATATATTGTAATTACATATTTTGCAGCTAGAACACTTAGAACACAGCAGTATCGGGTCTAAGATTTAATTTTGGGGATAGTTTTATTTTTTGTTTTCCCTAAAATCCAGCCGAGGTTAAAACGGCAGTGGCCCCGCGACATTTTGTAAATACGTATATATTGGAGTAAATGGCCAGATTCTCCACTCAAGTCCTGAGCGCCTGTTGCTCTAGTGCCCTCCATCAGTCTCCACCGGCTTGCAATACCAGTGACGCGGCTGGGAGAGAAGCACTGGGATCTCCTGGGGTCATGCCTTGGCTTCCACATTTGGAGGACAAAGCATGACTGAGTCTCCTGAGCGAATGTAAATATTGTATATATGTGTGAATGTGTTTTATATATTTCAATTTCATTTAGTTTCTCTCTATTTTTTTTATTTTTTAACCTATGTATGTTAATTTTCTTATTTTACTTTCTACAACTCTTTTTCTTTTATCTCTATTTTAGTTATCATTTGTATGTATATATTGTGTGAATGTTTGAATGTAGCCCTAATATTAATGCCCTCCAATGCGGCAGAATGTATTAATTTTCAAATAAAAAAAAAATAATAATATTTTTTTTATTGACGGTACTCTACAAAAAATATATCGAGTAATGTTTAAGTGGTCCTTAAAGGCCTGTAAAAAAAAAATTTAAAACAATGAAATACATTAATAAAAAAGCTGTGTTTACAGGAATAATAATGCTTTTAGGGATAATAGTTTTAATTTGTTTCTTGACACATGCTTATAATTAGTAGCTGAAAAACACGCCATATAATTTAAAAATAATACACATTTAATTAATTCTTAAAGTTAAATAGATGTTTACTGTACTCATATATTGAAATGTCACTATATATTTATACAAAAGTTTTAATGATTGTCCAATTTGATTAATAAGTATCCTGTGTATTTATCAACCCAATACAATTAGGCAGCTCTCTTTTAAGAAAATAAAGCGTATCTGTCTATTTAGCTCAGGTTTTTCAAAAATAAATAAATAAGACCCAATGGAAAAAATAAAATATTTTTTAGCCCGAAGTGATATTTATTACGAAAATACCTTGAATACAGCGTATTTTCTAATACTGGAGTTCGCTCCTTGAAAGCCAGGTAATTGGTTTCATTTTTTTTTTTTTAGTTTTCGTATTTTATTATTCATTTTTAGGGAGCCCTTGTGGTTAAAAAAATAAAAAGAATAATTAATATTGACATTGCTTTCATTTAACAAACCATTCATATACAATAAGAACTAATTTAGTTCTAACGTATATATAAATAAGTATAGAAATGTCATGCAATATGTTTAATAATTTTCATTTAAAGGTAGTATCTTTTCATATCTATTTACGATATTTATCATATCGTATGTAATATAGTCCTGCAGTGCTCATCTTTGCACATTCTCTTATAAATATTCGTAAGTATTCCAATAGTAATTCAATTATTTAGACAGACTTAAAAAAAAAAAAGTACAAACATTTTAATTCACTTACAACATCCCTTGTTAGTTCGAATATAAGAAAGGTGTCAGCAGCTCGATCAAAAGATTGTAGGAAAATAAAAAATACTAAAATTGCCATAATAAATGGTTGTGTCGTTTGAATCCTATGTGAATATGTTTTATAATTTTAATAATGCAATATTGCCTATTTTTATTTATACTATCTGAAAACCTACCAGATCGTATATATCTTCTTGAAACAAAAACAGGCTCATCATCATGATAAATCATAATAATAAGGAGTATAAAAACAAATGACCGTTTTATCAAATTTAAGATTTCAAAGTACTGTAAATATTTTAATCCTATTTAATAACACTTACTAATACTTAATTGTCTCTTTGGAGCATTCTCTAAGCTTGTTTAATCCCATTCGACTCCTTAAAAACAACCTCCAGTTTAGTTATTTGTTTCAAAGAAGAAACATGACTGTCCTACGAAATTCTCCTCATTTTAAGACATTACTGGAAAAAAAGTTCACAGCTGCTGAAGCAACTTGTGAAATTATTAAATATGGAGGGGAAGGTGTCCTTAAACAGCGCTGCACGCTGTTGGTTTGAAAAATTTAGTTGTGGAGATACGAGGTCGGAAAGAAAGAACGGCTTCAGGCGACCATTAATGGATATTGATGAGGTTCTGCAGGAAACTGTTGAGCCAAATCCGTCCACTCGCGGACTTGCCAGGGATTGTGTTGTGTCGAAAGATACTGTTATCGCCATCTACTCTCCATGGGGAAGGCGAAAAAGAGCAGTTGACTAGTCCCTCACGAACTTACTCCTCAGCAATCAGTTAAGAGTAAAGCTGTGAACATTTATTGAAAAAAAACCATCTAATATGAGACTCCTGCCTCATCCTCCATATAGTCCAGACCTCGCACCATGGGATTACTACTTATTTAGATCCATAGACCATTTTCATCAAGGGAAAAAATTTGACAATTTTGCGGAAGTTAAAATTGCGGTCCAAGAGTTCTTTGACAGCCATCCCATAGAATGATATCAAGGTGGGATCAAGCAATTGGCTAGCAGATGGCTAATGAGAATAGATACCATAGACTATACTTTAAATATTATTTGTATTTTATATCGAAGAATTAATAATAAAAATATTTAGTTGAAAAACAGTATTTTTTTTTTTATACGCCCTATTAATAATTTAAATAATGAATAATTTAATAGTGAATAATTTAATAATGAATAAATTAATAATTTAAATTGTTGTAGATCACGAAATGTTCATCAATTCATCCTAATTTTAACTTAATTAAATTTTGTTATAGGAAAAACGAGGACAAAAGACAAGTACAGGGTGGTTTATACTGATCACCAAAGGCTGGAGTTGGAAAAGGAGTTCCATTTCAGTAAATACATAACCATCAGGCGAAAATCAGAGCTGGCGTCATCGCTTGGTCTTTCTGAACGACAGGTATGTACACGATCTGGCGATATTTTATATAATATTAAATGTAATAAAATTCTTAAAGTAAAGTTTTATTAAATCAAATAGTTATAATTTGTAATCGCAAGTTACCCTGATAAACGGAAAGTACACCGAACAGACTAAAGTGAATCTTATCTCGTACTTACATACATACATACGTACAAACTAATATGTTTATATAATTAGTTTAATCGGTTCAGGAAGCTTACAAATCGAATCAAATCGTGAGCCATTTACTTATTTAAGGAGTCTGTCCCCCAACTTGTGGAAAATACTTTTTACACTTGCGTAGGTTTGTCGAAATTTCAATCTTGATTTACAAAATTAGCGTTAGTATGTGACACTGGCGAATCCAGGATTTAATGAGGGAGGGGGGCTTCAGCCCGAAACTTTTCATATAAATAACGATAATTACTTTGGAAAAAAAGAAAGAAACTGACTACCTATATGAAATGGTGTTTAAGTGATTCCTGAAGTCTTTTTAAATGTAATTACACGAACAATAATACTTGTTCTGAGATATTTTTTTCCATAAAACATGGTTATATTTTACCATTTGGGGGGGAGGGCTTCAGCCTGAAAGCCCCTCCCAGGAAAATCCGCCCGTGGTATGTGAGTAATAGTTATGCGTTATGTCGTACATTTGACATACTTCTATCATTCGGAATTGTTCAGTGACAAGGATTGAACTATGTTTTCTTACACACGAACCCTATATTCTATTTTTTTAATTGTACTATTATCTCATTCTGTCGGCAGTAGGTAAAGAACTAGTCTGATCCCTTTTTTTTTTTTTAATATAGCTGACAATCAGTTAAGATTCATTATATTTTCATAGTACAAAATACAAATTAAGGAATTAAAACGACTGTCCAAACACAATTCTACGATTTTTTATTCTATCCAGAAATAAAGGTGACACAGATATATGCTTTCTATAAATGGATGTTGCCATTTAAATGACATTTAATAATTTTAAAATTGAGTGCAACTAACTGACACAAGAGGGCTACCCTTATTTTCTAAAAAATGACAACAAATAAATAACAAAAAAAAAAAACCTGGTATAAATTCAGGCAACTATTAGCATTAATATATCTTCCATGCCTTTTTACAATTGCAGCAAAACAATGAAATCAGTTTATACCGGTTTATGGTATCAACATGTAAATTTATTTTTCTACAATTTTTCCATTGTTAATTATTATGATTATACTTACTATATTAAATAATACAAAAAAAAAATTATAAAGTTTAAAATTGTGTCTGAAATCATTTTTTTAAATAATTTTAATTCATTATTAATAATATTAAAAATGCTTACAGGTTAAGATATGGTTCCAAAACAGGAGAGCGAAGGATAGAAAACAAGTTAAAAAGATGGGAGAAATGGTGCACAAAGAAAAAATGCAGCAATTGTCGATGATATAGCATAAAAATTATGATTCATCAGATTTGTTTTGAAATGTTAATGTGGATATACTTGTTATATACACAGATCATTTGTGTTACATACACAGATCACAAATTGCTGCCTTCCCATTAATTTGTTTATTCTATTACTTTGAAAAATTAAGAGATTAAGGTATGAAACCGAGAAGAATAAATAATTTTATATGTAATATATAAATGTAATTATCTTGAATGATAAAAATGTTGTTTGTATAATTTAATTTTAAGATAAAAGATATTAAACAAATTTTAATCATTATAGTTATTGTTGATTTATCTTAAATATTAAAGAATTCTCATGTGATACTGAATTTATAGTTAAAATTCATAAAACAATTTTAATATTTATTAGTAATACAATAATTCTTACAAATTGTATTTAACACAAACTATATGCATTTTTATTTATTCATTGCTTGGCATTCTTGTTTGGCAAACATTATTACAGTTTTTTTACATCACCAGCATTGGTCTGAAGAATTTTATATTGATTATAAGATTGAAGAACTTCTTACTTAAGAAGAAGAGTTTCTTACTTGTATTTTTTAAATCATATTAATAATCAAGAAAATATATTTTAATGTTTTTTATAACACGCATCTACACTTACACTGTTATATGGTTTGTGTTATGTTAATCTAAATATATATATATATATATATATATATATATATATATATATATATATATATATATATATATAAAAAGGGTCAATAAAAAATTATAAAAAAATTAATAAAAGCTGTATATATCAACTTAAAATACATATATGTATATCTATACATATTTAAAATTAAGATGTAAATATGATTTGAGCTTAATTTATACTTTCTTCAACTTTAACAAGCCCCAATATGCTTTATACCCTATATTTACGTTAGTTAATTGTTATATGTTTAGCTTTGTACATTAAATCTGACACGAAATTAGTGCCAGTACACTTATTTCACTAATTGTTATTTTATTGTAATACACAGACAAAAGGTTATGTATCCAGTTGCAGCAATCAATGTATCAAACCATATTACATTCAACTTTTATATTTATAAAAACAAGTTTATATACATGTATACCTGCAAGTATGGAAATATATATGCGTGCATATATATGTAGTATTATGTAAATATTATCAATTAATTTTTAAATATTACAGTCTGTTATACAAAATTGGAGTTGTTTTAATTGTTTTCCTTTTAATAACTGTATTTTAAATCCATAAGATTATGCACCCTTAAAAAAAAAGGAGAAAGTAAGTTTTATTCAGGGATGTTTAGTCACATGAACAAGTTAATTACATTATAAAATAGATTTATCTGGTAAATAATGGCTGGGAAATTTTCGGCAACAGGGGTGCCCAGAAGGGGATTTCATGGCGCAAGTTGCGCCATCAAAATTTTTGAGGGTGGCGTATTTGAATTTTGCATTAAATTTTTGAAGAGGGTACATTTCGGCAGGGTCGTGAATTTTTGGAATGGAAAGTTCCAAACTAAGGACAAGAGAAAAACAGGGAACAGACTATGATCTACGATCTCTTAAATTTGCTTTTGTTTGCACTGTTATTAAGAAGAGGAGAGAAATCTTGGAAAAGGGAGGAGAGAAGTTTTTGCATCAATGACCTTGGGGAAAATGGGCACTCCTGTTCAGCAGAAAAGAAGAAAATTAAGTTTTAGTGTATTTTTAAGTGAGTCATGTATTTTGTTAAATAAGACATTACAAATAAAAAAATATTTATGTAATCAAAAAGTACTAAATTAATTAAAGTATTAATATTTAATTTAACAATAAAATATAGAAAAATCATTTTATTTTATTTTATCTTAATCCATCCTCTTGAACCACATTAAGCAGTGTGAGGAGGCATAAGCTTCCTCCTTCAAGCCTTCTTCAACTCTGCCATCTCCGAGCTCCTTCAATTTAAATCCTCTGTCCACTCCCGCAATACCCATTCCGGTATCTTCAGGTTTATATAGCATTTCCAAGTCAATTTCAACCTTTTCCAAGTCAAATTCAACCTTTTCCAAATCAAATTAAACTTTTTCCAAGTCAAATTCAACCTTTTCCATTTCAAATTAAACCTTTTCCATTTCAAATTCAACCTTTTTTTATTTATTTAATTATCTTTAATTTTTCGATGCGTGGGTCTGTTATCGTATGAGTAGTTTTTTAAAATAACCTCCTTTTTAAGATTACGTGACTGCGTTTCGAATTATTTAAGTTTTTTTGACTTATTCGATATAAGGGTGTATTTTTATGTTTCCCGATCAGTAAATTTTTAAAATGACATCTATTTTATGTTTACGCCACTGTGTTTTGATTTATTTAAGTTTTTAGAATTTATCCAATATAAAGGTCTACTTTTTTGTTTCCGGAGCCGTAGATTTTGAAAACGACCTCCATTTTAAGATTAGGCCACCGCGTTTCGACTTATTTGAGTTTTTCGGATATTTTTCATATGAGGGTGTATTTTTATGTATCCGGAGCTGTAGATTTTGAAAATGACCTCCATTTTAAGATTAGGCCACCGCGTTTCGACTTATTTGAGTTTTTCGGATATTTTTCATATGAGGGTGTATTTTTATGTATCCGGAGCTGTAGATTTTGAAAATGACCTCCATTTTAAGATTAGGCCACCGCGTTTCGACTTATTTGAGTTTTTCGGATATTTTTCATATGAGGGTGTATTTTTATGTATCCGGAGCTGTAGATTTTGAAAATGACCTCCATTTTAAGATTAGGCCACCGCGTTTCGACTTATTTGAGTTTTTCGGATATTTTTCATATGAGGGTGTATTTTTATGTTTCCGGAGCTGTAGATTTTGAAAATGACCTCCATTTTATGATTACGCCACTGCGTTTTGACTTATTTAAGTTTTTCGAATTTATCCAATATTAAGGTCTACTTTTATGTTTCTTGAGCCGTAGATTTTGAAAATGACATCCATTTAATGATGACGCCATTGCATTTTGACTTATTTAAGTTTTTCGAATTTATCCAATTTAAAGGTCTACTTTTATGTTTTCGGAACCGTAGATTCTGAAAATGACCTCTATTTTATGATTACGCAACTGCGTTTCAACTTATTTAAATTTTTAGAATTTAACAAGTATAAAGGTCTAATTTTATGTTTCTGGAGCAGTAGATTTCCCCCATTTTGTAAATGACCCAATTTAAAGTTTATGCCACTGTTTTGGATTATAAAAGTTTTTTTTTTACTTTTTCGGTATAAGGATCTACTTATATGTTATCCGAGACGTATTGAAATTTTTCTAATCTTTAATATTTAAATTTATCTAATATTTAAGCTCCATTTTATGATTAAGCCGCTGCATCTTGATTAATTAGGCTTCATTTTGGATTTTTTCAATACAAAGTTTCATCAATATGTTTTCGAGTATGAATAAATAAATAAATATTATGAAGCTAAAGTAAAATTAACCACAGAATACAAACTAAAAAGCCGAAAAGCAACTGGTAATAAATTTAACCTTCCGTATTCAGATTTTTCAGCTAATTGTTCGAAATCTTATAATTTTGTGATAGGAGACCACAACATTAAAAAAGATAACTAAAATTAAATTAAAAATGAGACAATACATATTTTATTTATTTTGATTAGATATTTTTATTTATTTATTGAAAAATAAATTAATCCTTCGTATTATGTTTTTTATTCGAAGGAAAAATCAAAAACACTTAACAAAACCGAAACACAGTGGCCTAATCTTAAAATGTAAGTCGTTTTAAAAACTAAGGCTCCGGCATCATAAAAGTAGACCTTTAAATTGGATAAATTCGAAAAACTTGAATAAGCCGAAACGCAGTGGCATAATCTTAAAATGGAGGTCATTTTCAAAATCTACGACTCCGGAAACATAATAATACACTCTTTTATGATAAAAATTCGAAACACTTAAAGAAATCGAAATGCGGTGGCCTAATCTTAAAATGGAGGTCGTTTTCAAAATCTTCGGCTCCGGAAACATAAGAATACATCCTCATATGAAAAAAATCCGAAAAACTCAAAGAAATTGAAATGCGGTGGCCTAATCTTAAAATGGAGGTCGTTTTCAAAATCTACGGCTCCGGAAACATAAGAATACATCCTCATATGAAAAAAATCCGAAAAACTCAAATAAGTCGAAACGTGGTGGCCTAATCTTAAAATGGAGGTCATTTTCAAAATCTACAGCTCCGGAAACATAAAAATACACCCTCATATGAAAAATATCCGAAAAACTCAAATAAGTCGAAACGCGGTGGCCTAATCTTAAAATGAAGGTCGTTTTCAAAATCTACGGCTCCGGAAACATAAAAGTAGACCTTTATATTGGATAAATTCTAAAAACTTAAATAAGTCAAAACACAGTGGCGTAAACATAAAATGGATGTCATTTTCAAAATTTACTGATCGGGAAACATAAAAATACACCCACATATCGAATTTGTCAAAAAAACTTAAATGATTCGAAACGCAGTCACGTAATCTTAAAATGGAGGTTATTTTCAAAACTAGGTACAGGACAGCATAATACTAGTCCCTAAGAAATCCGAATAGGTACAATAAATCGATATCCGTAAGTGAAAATTCTACTTAGGAGAGCATAATAATAGACTTTCATATTGGAGGGGGGGAGGGGATGGCCATTATTTAAAAAAAAATATAAAATTTACAAAAACTTAAAACATTAATTTGAAATGAAAACGGTTGAATTTGAATTGGAAAAGGTTTAATTTGAAATGGAAATGGTTGAATTGACTTGGAAAAAGTTTGATTTGATCTGGAAAAGGTTGAATTTGACTTGGAAAAGGTTGAATTTGACTTGGAAATAATTGAATATCACATAGAAATATCACACTGAAAAAATCTAAAATGTTAAAATAAATGGATATGCAACTGCGTAATCAATTTTTTTTTGTATTTTTTAAAAGCTATGCCGTCGATAATATAGTAAGTGGCCTTCATTTCGAAAAAAATCGAAAATTGACAAAAATTCTAAAGTTGAATTTGAAATGGAAAAGGTTTAATTTGACTTGGAAAAGGTTGAATTTGATATGGAAAAGGTTGAAATTGACTTGGAAATGCTATATACAATGACCCACCAAACCGCTGCTTTCGATAAATCTTTTATTATTCGATCCTCAACCCTATGAAACTCCATCCCTCCCCACATCCGTCAATCCAAAACTCTTCCTATCTTTAAATCCCGACTGTTTAATCATTTTTTATCCATCCAGCCCTCATAAAATTGTAAACAGCTACTACTGTAAAAATGTATATAAATTATTAGATCCTTTTTCATTATTTTTACTTCATGTTTATTTTCAATTTTTTATTTTTTATTTTTAACTGATTTAAATTAGGAAGTAACTTATAATATCTTTTATTATTTTTTTAATTTTGACTATTTAATCAAACTATATTCTTGTTTATGTATCTCTGAGGCTCCTTAGCCCACATCTTTGTCTCTCTGTGTTATTGTAAAGGCACTCATCCCAGAATAAATAAAGCGTTATTATAATTAATGATAATAAAAACCTTATACTGACTACATCCTGAATATTTATCACACATAATATGTAGAACAGTCAACTAACTTCCTTCAATAATTAACTTGTTTGTAGCTCTTAAGATCAGTTTATGGATGATAAATATTAAGTAGGCAGTCATTATAAAGTTTTTATTGGTGCTGACGTTACAACCCAAACATGTGGTTCATCATCAGTGCTTAAAACACGCCCTGATGATGAACCACATGTTTGGGTTGAAACATCAGCACCAATAAAAACTTCATAATGACTGCGTCCTGAATATTTTTCACCCATGATAGATAAAACAGTCGACTAATTGGAGAGTGACAAAAACAAATCGCGAATAATTTATGAATTTCAATAATTCATTTAATCATTTTTAGCTAAGCTGTGTTTCATTTTTATTCTTACCTCTGTGGCCTTTTCATTTTTTGAACCACTTGGCTTCTCGTTTCCCATGAGTATATATTACGTCCTTATCTTTTTTTTTTTTTACTCTGATTCTGATGCTTCTGGCTGTTAATCAATTGTGGGCCTCAGAAACCAAGGGTTTGAATTTAATCCGGCTCAATTTTGAATTATGCTTCATACCTCATTCCACTTGATCGTTGAGGTATACTTGTATTTTTTGAGAATCTTTTTTATTGTCATATTTATATTACTAATTATATAGATAATGAGACTGTAAAAACATTGTGTATTTATTAGAACAATCATTTTTTTGGTTATTTTTAAGAATGGTGTTCAATGGGCGATATCATAAAATGAAGTATTTGATCCTCCGTTGAAACATAGACAACCATAACACTGTGATTTAACTTAAAATGAAAAGTGGATGAACTACTGAATAGCGTACAAATGAAAAATCGTATGATTTTCTCTTATTTTCATGGATTTGTTTAATATATATATATATATATATATATTTTTTTTAAGAAACTAACTTTCAAATACCTTACATATGAAGATCAGAATTTCCAACACTGAAAATCTCTCTATAATTTATATATTTTTATTTTACTTCTTAAACCCAGAGAAGCTGGTTGTGCCTGCGCTATATTCATCATAAAATCATGATCTTCAAAGAATATGAAACTGTATAAAGGGTATTACATAAGTAGAGGAAAGTATTTAAAGGAGTGATAACTGATCTTAAGAGCTACAAACAAGTTAATTATTGAAGGAAGTTAGTCGACTGTTCTACATATCATGTGTGATAAATATTCAGGATGCAGTCATTATAAGGTTTTTATTATTATTAATTATAATAATGCTTTATTTATTCTGGGACGAGTCTCTTTAGAATAATACAGAGAGACAAAGATGTGGGCTAAGGAGCCTCAGAGATACTTAAACAAGAATATAGTTTGATTAAATAGTCAAAATTAAAAAAATAATAAAAGAAATTATAAGTTACTTCCTAATTTAAATCATTTAATAATAAAAAATAAAAAAATGAAAATAAACATGAAGTAAAAATAATGAAAAACGATCTAATAATTTATATACATATTTACAGAAGTAGGTTTTTACTATTTCATGAGGGCTGGATGGATAAGAAATGATTAAACAGTCGGGATTTAAAGATAGGAAGAGTTTTGAATTGACGGATGTGGAGGGAAGGATGGAGTTCCATAGGGTTGAGGATCGAATAATAAAAGATTTATCGAAAGAAGCGGTTCGGTGGGTCATTATATATAAATCTGAAGACCAGGAACGGGTATTGCGGGAGTGGACAGAGGATTTAAATTGAAGGAGCTCGGAGATGTATGAAGGACGGCGGGAGTGAATTACTTGAAAGAGGAAGGATGCCAGGAAATACTTGCGGCGGTAGGAAGGATAAAGCCATTTCAACTCTTCATAGAAGCAGGAAACAGGGGCGTCTCTTGGGATCCAGAAGATGAATCATACAAAGTTCAAACGTTTTAGTTTCACCTCGAGATCCCCAGAGACGTCCCCATATACCGTGCAGCAATAGTCGAAGTGGGGAAATATTTACGAGGTAACCAGGAAAAGGTTATAAAAAATTAAGTGATTTTATAACCTGTCACATAAAAGTACCTGTGTTTTCAGAAAAAATGACTATAATAAATTATTGAAGAGCTTTTATCTCTTGTTTTTCCATGATCTTTGATCTATAATAATAAGTATAAATGTATAAAGATGCATTTTATTTAAAAAAAAAAAATTTAACGGACAATGATGTGATTGAGGAGAACCGACTGAGATGGCTAGGACATCTGCGGATGGAACCAAACAGAATAGCTAGCGAAACCTACCAAGCTAGAGTAGACAGCAAGAGAGGAACAGGACGGCCTAGAAGGAAATGGGAAGATGAGATAAAGAGCGACTTCCAGAGAAGAGGTCTTCAATGGAATGATAAAAGGCATCTTGTGGAAGACCGGCAGAGCTGGAGAAGGCTCTATAAACTTATTCCTCACACTGCTTAATGTGGTTCAAGAGGATGGATTATGATGATAAAAAAAAATTAAAATGATTTTTCTATATTTTGTATGTTAAATTAAATATTAATACTTTAATTAATTTAATACTTTTTGATTACATAAATTAAATATTTCTTTATTTGTAATGTCTTATGTAACAAAATACATGACTCACTTAAAAATACACTAAAACTTAATTTTCTTGTTTTCTGCTGAACAGGAGTGCCCCTTCCCCCCAAGGTCATTGATACAAGAATTATAAGAAGTATGATAGGATTTTTTTTTTTTTATACTTCCAAATATTTATATCAAACTACTTCACAAATGCTCATTGAAAAGAAAAAGATTAAGGAAATTAATCAACCCATTTTTTTTTTTACAATTTTTTATTTTTTTCCTCTTAAAATAAATTAAACAAAAACACTTAAAAGCGATTTTTTTTGTTTGTGATTTCTTCTGTTTTACTTATATTACAAACAAAATATATACAGTTTAGCTATGTACAAAAAAATATTTATAAAAATATATATATTCATACAGAAGTTTCATTATTATCAGGAACTATTTCTGAATCATCAATTTTTTCTAATTTATTTTCATGCAATTCGCGGCATTTATCTCTGGTCTTTAGGGGGGTACCTCTTGGGCTCATTTTTCTGCTTCCTGCATATGGTTTCAATAAACGTGCACTAAAAATAAAATAAAACAAAATTATTTGAAAAATTAATTCATAAATAAACTCAACAATATATGCCAACTATCTAAAAAATGGAATAATTTAAAAACACCCTGAAGAATATTATTACATTAACATCAAATACATTAACTAATCCATATACAGTTGACTCGCGATAGAGAAGAAAACCTTGAATTATCAAGAAAAAAAAATTCAAATTATTAAGAGTTTTTATAATATTTTTGAAAATATGTATGAACTTACATAAATTTTAAATATAAATAGCCTCATGTAAAAAATATTACAAGGAAAATTTCTAATCATAGGGAGGGGAAGTGGTCTAGTTCGAATTATAGAACATTCTCTCCCCCTCTTGTTATGAAAGGATTATGTGTTATCGAGCTATCAAAATATAGCAATTTTTTCTATTTATATATTATATATATCATAATTAACAGCTGAAGAGTTTGAATTGTCGAAAAATTTGAATTATCGAGTTGACTGTATTATGGACAAAACTAATCTAACATCCACGAAAGCTCATCTATAAAACAGATAGATGTATTTTCTTTTGTTTTTTCTTTATTTTACAAATAGGGTATGACTGTGTTTTTAATTTACTTATCTTTAGGTTATTTTATTTTTTAATGCACATAGTTGATTATTACTAATTTGATGATAGATGAAACCTTTTCTAAATAATATTAGCATCCCCATAGAAGAAAAAAAAGAAATCTGGCAACCAGAATCGCTGGCAATGGTTGAAGGCAGACGCGAGTCAAAAATCCACTTTTTTTTTTCAAATCTCGATCCATTTGAAGGTGGAGGGAACCTTTATGGAATAAAACATGTGTCTCCAGAAACCAATAACAACGTAATCTATCAACCGGAAATGTACATGGCAATGGAAATAGAGTTTCCTTGGTAGATGCGATTCAAGACTAAATAGGTCAAAGGCTAACATTTTTTTTTTAATTTGATCTGTTCGAAGAGGGATGGAAGCTTACATAAAGATAGTCCATTGAAGGATCGCAAAAATAAAATGATAATGATATTCTCCGACATTGATGAAAAAACGAAATGTGCCTACTGAAACCAGCCATGATCACCGGCAACTGTAATTGAAAACCACCTTATTAACTTCAAAATTTTACTCAAGATAGATGAAATATCAAATAAATTAAACTATTACCTAATAATGGGATAATTATAATTCTTTATTACGCATCTATATTATAAGGTATCATACTTCTCACCCACTTTTCTTCCCTGCATTAATTTCAGAGTGAATTCAGATCATCTCAATCATACCACAACAATAACTTTTCCATCTCAAATAATGTTCATCTTTAGGCTCCATGGGATTTAATTGCTTCAAAAGTTCAAAATTTAATTATTCTAGCCATACTATAAAATAAAAAAAAAAAGACACCTAGCAAGATCAAAAATTGTTGTCGAAGTAGACGAGGAGATTACGAGGCTAAAGGATTCAATTACTTTTGTGTATATGTATTAAGATATTTGAAAAAAGCAAGAAAATTGAATAAGCACAATAAAACAGGACAAGAAACTGGAAAAAGCTCGGTAACAGACCTTAAAGAATTGAGAGAGGGTTTATACACTTAAAGGATTAAAAAATATTCATTTTGGGACTATTCTAAACACAATATATTTCAATTGAAAGAAGATTCTATATGGTCAAAAAATATGCATAGTAGAGTCAGTATAGATTGTTTGAAAATTTAATTTTTTTTTTTTTTAAGAAAACATACTGTACCATTTTTTAAACAAATGGAATATAAATTTGTGCATCCTTCAGCAAAAGTACTGGATGAAAATATAATAAAATTTATACTGTACTATTTGTAGATTAGTCCCCATTTTTCCTCCAAAGCAAACCACAACTTGCCATTTTTTTAAATATAAGGGTGTCAAGGAAAACATATCTGGACATGAGCAGGAATTTGATGGAATTTTATGAAAATTGAGAAAGAACCATCTACGAGGCAATCTGCTCAATCGCTAAAAATTTAATTAAAATCGGAAAATGGTTGGTGATATATCCGTCACAATGATTTGACAGACAAGACACTGAACCAAAATACTTCTTTTGATGTTTAAAACATAAAACGTGAGTAAATATTTACAATTCCTGCATGAAATAAAGCTTTCCTAACTCCAATTATGTGGGAGCAATATTACATAGTAATGGAGTTCAGAAGTATATGGAGTATTAAGTTTCAGAATATATTTCTTCTTTTTTTTTTTAATAGATAGTGGACCGCTATTAATCTGGACTGATACAGTTCTGAGTTCAATATATCATACAAGAAGTGAATATCTGAATAATTAAATTTCAATGTCATATAATTCCACGAAATATAATAAAATTGTTTTATTTATTTTATTTTAGTTTTATTTAGAAAATATATCTTCCATCATTAAATAAATAAAACTTTAAAGGAAACAGGATGGTTTTTGACTAACCTACGTCTACCGGCCAAACACGACCACTTCCAGTTAACAAATTTTTTTTTTCATAGTCCCTGGTTAGACTAGTTTTATTTAGGATAAGTTTCATCTATTTTAGAGTAATTCAAATTTAGAAATAAAAAAGTTTTTAGCTGACCTATTTGGTCTTGAACCGCATCTGGGCAGACTACGTTTTCATGGCTACTGAGTGGACTAGTTTTATTTTAAAGGTTTCAACCATTTCAAATAAGTAAAAATTTAGAGAAAAAAAGTTGGTTTTTGATGCACGTCTATCGGACAAATATAACCAATTACGGCTGGCAGACTTTGTTCTTTTAGGCCTCTGGATAGACTAGTTTTGTATAGAAAAGGTTCCAATCATCTTCAAATGAATCAAAGTGACCATTTTTTAGGCTTTGGGATGATCAAGTTTTGTTTGGAAAAGGGCTCATCTGTCTTCAAATAAGTCACTTTTTAAAAAAATATGATGACTTTGATGACCCATAAAATTTTATTGCAACCCATTTAGGGTGGTAGAAGCCCATATTTGCAGTCTATAGTGAAAATACTTAGGAATCCATGGTCAAAAACTTTTTTCAAATCAGAACACCTTTTCGGCCTCAGCTTCCAGACTATATGATGTAGGCACTATAATTCAATATTGGTTAATTAATTTACTGGCCAAAATTACAGATTAATATCGAAACAAGAAATGGGTTCTTGAGGATTAAAAGTTGTTAACAATACCACCAGTTGGCAATAAAAAGCAACCTCAGCAGAAATTTGGTTCGAAATTAAAAAAAAAAAAAAAAAAAAAAAAAAAAAAAAAAAAAAAAATGAGAATTATGAAAATGAATAACTGTAAGGCAATATGCAATAACCTAATATGGAAGTGATATATTAATATGTAACACATGATCATAAATAAAATTGGTTCATTAAATTTTTTTTTAAAAGATTAATATGATAATAATTTATACATACGCATCCATCAATTTCAGTAAAATTCTTGAAAACATTTGATATTCTTCATCACCGAAGTCAGCAGGATCATGACGTGCATGTTCATATAAATCACAAAATTGCTGTACTAATCTTTGCCCAACCCCATTTAACGGAGCACCCAAAGTGTTCAGAAGATATACTCTCAAATTATCACTTGGATGCCTATGCAAACTTGGATCTTGTTTTAAAATTTCTTTCTCTGTTAAAAACAAATAAATAACTTATTTAAATAAAAAATCCACATAAATATAACATAATTAATATGGCAAATGATACTACACTGGCATGGGGAAGTGGTGACTCTATTGCCTGGTCAATGCACAGGAATCAGCCACTGGTCATCTGGGTTGGAGGGAAAATATTTACACTAATGCCTAGACAGTACACTTATACAGCTCTCTACAACACCATAAACAACAAAGGTCATACAAGGTACACACCCTAGCTAGGATCTAGGACACCTAGAAAGCCACCACGGATGGGGTGCAGGCACAACTGTGGCAACCCCTGAATCTCTAAATTATAACACAATAAAGCCTTGGATGAACCACTCTCAGGTTCACACAATGTCATTGACAAAAAAGCCTAAACTGTGATGGTGGGTGCACAGAGTCAGACCATGATAACCAAGAGTGTTAAAATTTCATCAACTTGCAACCTTGAGTCTAGCTGAGCTTGTTTGAGCCTGGCCTGAGAAGGGGAGAGGGTTGAAATTAATTTTATAATAGAAATAAATGTACAAGTTAGCAATTCATTTTCTAATGAAAAATATTTTTTCATATCTGGTCATCCCATTAATAATGCTAGTATTTAATTGTGTGAAGCGTAAAAGATCAAGGTCATCAACACCGGCAGTTATGTGATATAAAGAGTAGGATAAAACCAATGAAATATGTTAAATTTAAAATGTTTTTACCATCAACAGTATGCCATCTTAAAACTAAATTTTCTAAAGCTTTTCTGAAAAAATGCTTGTTATTTTTTTGGTCAATACCTTGTTCTTTACTTCATCAACAGAATTCATGTTCATGCTACTTAATGGGTTTTGGAGACAGTGAAAATCCAAAAGTGCTTAGTCAGGAGAATATGGTGGGTTGGCCCTTCAATTTTTGTTATGTTTGTTTTGCAACATGTGGCTTTGCATTTTCATGGTGGAATAAAATGATTCGTCTATTAATAAGTGAGGAACATTTTTCCTTAATTACCCACTTCATTCAATGTAGGTGAGACAGTAGAGATCTTTAGTGATAGTTTGATTAAGATCAAGGAATTCACGATGAAGGATTCCTTCACGTTCTACCAAACAGACATTATTTCTTTTTTTGGATGAAGTCCTTCTCTCACTTCTGTTCACAGTGTTTCTACATGACTTAACTGATAACTTTTTCTCCATATATTTCTGGTAGTTTCCGATAAGTTGAAGCATTTTCTTTTTTAACGAATTTGAAATCAAGAATACAAGTACTATTGGTCAACAATTTATCAACAGAACATTAATGCATTTATCAAAATACATCAGCACCTTTATCACCAGCAGTAATTTCCATACATGTTATCAAATAATAATGATAAAAAATTATCAGTAAATGCAAAACAGAAGAAATGTATTAAAATTTGACTTATCCAGTATATTTATATTTAGCCATAACCAGTATATGTATGTAAATATATATACATATACCCATCATGAATAATGTTATTAACTTAAGACAGAGACTGACAGTTGAACATAACATACCTAAAAGTTTAATATCATCACATGCTTTGAGTCTGTAGTAAAATGGTGGTACATCTGAGCCAGGTGGTAATATATATCTGGATTCATTATCATTACTCAATGGTGGTTCATAAACAATTTTGGGAACAAGATCTATTCTCCTATGAATTTCTTTCTTCAGGGACTAATAGGAAACATATTAATACAATAACATTAAACACTGTAACATAGGCAATTATATAAAATACAATGTTAAAAAATAATAAGTCTCAAATTAACCCTCCAGACAGCAATCACACATTTTTCTTATAAACAAGAAAACTAAAATTTGTTGACTTCTTGGGTCATATTATTCTACTTACAACTTATGCCATACAATCCCCAGGAGTGAATGTAAATTTTCTCATGTGAATGACTTAAAAAGAAAACCTGTGGCATGGTGTCCATTGTACACTTAGCTAATGGTGGTATAATAAAATTTTCAACTAAGTCTGAATAGGAATCAGTTATTTCTCTGAATCTTTAATTCATTATTATTATATTTAATTTAATTTATGTAGATAAACATGTACCTTTTGATAAAATAAAAATTGTATTTATAATTTTAGGTTGTATAAAAAATACCTATCCTCTCTCAGTTTTAAAATTGTAGATATATGTATTAGAAAATTGATTGAGAAACACTTTATCCCAAACAGCCAATAACCAAATTTACTCTGTCTTCTGTCACACCACTATTAGTATTTACAAAATTATCTCTTTTAAACTCTAATTAATTATTGTTCACCACAATTTATGATGAACTATTTATTATTACATGTATAAATAATTGATTTAATCAGTAGTAAAAATAAAAAATATTTGCCTCTTTTTTATATAAACCATGTTTTAAATAAATTTATACACTTTTTTTTAAAATTTATAAATGAACAATACTATTAATTCGCCAAATAAAATCATCACTTGATACCATTGAAGATGTAAAATACCATAAATTTCGTATGCCGTCAAACATACAGCTAGCACCTGCTGATGTTATCAGAACCTTAGCTCCCAACAGAGAGTTAAAAATTGTAAGACTGAAATGAATATCAATTAAAAATATGATTCATATAATAAATGTTAAGCGATTGGGTTTTCACACTTGATATCTAGTTTTATGAATGGAATACCAGTTTTTTTTACTTTCAGTTACCTATATATGAAATATATAGTAAAGGAAAGTATTGCGATCGTGAAAATTTTTGAATCTCAGTTTTCAACGAATATGCATGTTTTGAGGTCTCCTGAGTCTAAATAACCAAGTCCTGCAAAATGGTGTGTGTGTGTGTGTGTTAACAGTCTAGCTTAAAAACGAAAAGTTGTACGAAAGTGAAATTGCATATTTAAGGTTTTTATATACTAGGGATGTTGCAGCAACTTTTTTGTCAAAATCGGCTAACCGGAAGTGGCACTTTATATCATGAACTTAACATATTTTTACGTTTTCTTCAAAACGGCAGTAGCAATGTTGATGAAATTCATTATATCACAATAAAATTAAACAGTTTTAAATAAAATATAGGTTTTATTCTGATTGATGTTCTCTAATAGGGCTTAAATGGCTAATTTTCAATATTAGCTTCCTCTAAAGCACCTTTAATTTTTTTTATTTGAAACAATTGACCATTTTACATTGATCCCTAATATAAAATATAGTTAAATATTAGATATGAAAGAATTTGATAATTAACTAAAGGAGAAATATGAGAGAATGTAATGGAGAATAATTGTGATTGAGGAACCAAAGCAATTCGAGCACGCCCTAGCTCACCCGAAAGATTAGAACAGGCTTCCTTACGTAACATGAGCTTAATGTAATACAGTTGACCTTATAAAACAAAAATTAGTCACTTTACAATTAATTAAGTAATAAAAATAAATAATTTCACTGCTTTGCAGAAGGCTCTTCTGTCAGTTCTGTATAAAAGATTAAATAGAAAATATATGAATTTAAATCCAAGAGAACACTTTAAATTTGTATAAACATTAACCTTTTATTAGAAGCTTATGTGCATATTCGGAATATTACAGCAATAAACACTTTACAGAAAAAAAACAGGTGAACCATGAATTAATCAACTTTTCATTATTTTTGAGTGAAAATAATACAGATTAGCAATACCTTTGATTGATGATTTATATTTTGTATGCCGTTTTATACACTTATAATTAAATTTTATTTTTAAAATCTCATTTTTTGGTGTTCCCAATTTTTTTTTTGTAAAATAATAGTTTTGCTTTACGGAATAATATTACAGGCAAGGTGTGCCATTATTTGCTTAGTTGCCTAGAGTGTAGTTTAATCCGATTATTTATCCATTCATTCCTTTAAATCATCAATATCTCAAAGCACAGTGCCTTTCCATATGCAAACTAAGAATAAACACAAATTCCAAACCTCAAAATTAACAATTGTTACTGGTTTCTCAAAAATTGATAATGATTTAATATAACCTACTTTTTAATGTTTTCTATGGTTGCTAAGAAAAAAAAAAACAGTTTGATATATTGATGATATTTTAAACTTCTAGTCTGTCAATTCCTCTGGATGACAAATTAACATTCGTCTAGAACATTATGCGGAGCAGAGAAGAGAAACAGTCTTGGTTCATTGTTAAGCAAAACTAACAATGGAGATGTCATCCCTCTTCATGATTCCTCATTTTAATTTGCCCTGAATAAAAGTTTACCATATCACCCAAAACAATAAAAGGCATTTAATAGTTTTTAAACTTTTTTTTTTTATTATGAACACACCCTGACCATATCTCCCAAGATCATCATAGTACATTATTCCATAAATATCATACTTCATTATTTGAGAGTATCAGAAAAAGGGTGGTGAAAAAAGTAGAGATATAAAACATATTTAATTCTTGCTTGCCATCTTCCCACTCCCTTGGTCTCCAACAAAACTTAAGAGTTGGGAAGGCTCAAAAGTTTGACTTTTAAAAAGGCTACAATTATTTATTTATTTACCACTAGATAGCATCAAGACCATCTAATTTACAAAAGTTGTTTAAGTTAAAAATAAATGCTACAAGAAACTCCAGGACAATATTATATGTCCAATTAAAAAACTAATTTTTATTTTTTCATTAAAAAATCACAGTAGAATTTCACAAGTGTCAATTCTAGTCGCCAGAACTTAGGAAACTCCATTTAGTCTGATTGATATGGTTTAGACCACCTGTCAACCAAGTGTTGTACGCCAATATAACATGAAAATATTCATATCCATTACTAACGGATAAAGTTTCAATCAATATGATTATATAGAAAGAATAAATGTAAAACAAAATAATAAGCATGATTTTTCAATAAAGTTTTACCTTTATTGCACCATGCCCGATTGGTACATGAGGTCCTCTTCTTGATCTTAAAGCAAATCTCATAATTTGTCTTTTAGCAAATATAAATAATAACATTAAAGTTAACACTCCCCCTGCTATAATAATAACAACAGTGGCTCCAGAAAGTTCTTCAACCATAATGCTAGGAGTGTTTTACTTTTCTTTAATGTACTCAATAGCAAGGTAAATATATATATATAAACATATAGAGAACATCAAGGCTCAAAGATTTTGAATTTTCGTTTCTAAACAATGTAATTCAATATAAATAAATCTGAGAAATTCGTACAGACAAATGCACTTTGAAATATCCTGACATATTAGGTGGTAAAACATACTACTGTAACTAACTAAATATTTAATTTATCAGCTACACTTCATTTATATTCTTTTTAAACCAAAAGACAATCAGTTAAAACACTGTTGCATCCAAAGAAGTATAATAATGTTCAAATGCGTACTTTTTATGATAACACCAGATAAAAAACATTAAGCTCACTTGACATCATAACAAATTTCAACAATTTTTTCTTATAAGATTAAAAGACGCGTTTTCTAAATAGATCTCCAACAATCTCTCTTCTTAATAATTTATTAATCACTTTTATTTAAAAAAATGTAACATGAACAAATTAAATCGATCTACAAATAACTAAACAAAATAAATAAACAAAAGAAAATAAATTTTATACCACTACAACCCATGAAGGGTCTTGGGTTCAGTATTATTTTAGGAAGTAGTGGCTCAACCGCCAGGTACAAACAACGAACCTAAACAAAATTTATAAAGAATTTCTTTTATCAATCTATTCTCATTACCAACCATTATCATGAAATCTTAGTTACCATCATGTTCGAAGAAAGGCTCTTTTTCTTAGCCAACACATTTTTAGTACGCACTTCTTTTATATCAGTTGCTCTCTCCACTATTGCAGCTTAATATTTCGAAACGGAAATCACGTTAGTCATGCAATTTTCGTTCCTCTGCCTAACAAGACGCGATTTCTTATCATTAAGAATCATCATCCCACTAACTAGAGTCACAACTAAATCATTCCTCTTCTTTTCTTCGCTGCCAAATAGGGCAATCTCGCCGTCCTAAAGGTGCGTTTAGAAATTTCAGAAACAATGGGAAAAACATTTATTTAACTTAACTAGTAGTGACATTACTGCTAAACTAAACTATTTATTTTATTTCTCTTGATACCGACAACATATGAAAAATATCAAAAACAAGAAACAAAAATATTATGATAGTGAAATAACCATTTATAAATTTGTTTGTCATTTATATATTGAATACCTCAAAAAAGTTTCCATACAGTTAGTTTTTCTTTAACATTGTTAATAATCTATTCATTCTATTATTTTTATTAATCAGGAAGCGTAGTAGAGGCTAAGCTGTATCAACAGATAACAAATTCATGCTGGATCACTAATACCATAGCAGCGGTGTGCTTAGGATCGTTGTCCTGTTGAATAATAAACCCTAGAATAAGTTCAAGTTCAGCAGGACTGTTTAAATTGTTCCTTAGAATATTTAAGTATAAACGCTGGTCCATAATTCTATCAATAAAAACAACATTGCCAATCCCTAAAGCATTAATACGCCCCCATACCATTACACTTCCACCTTCAGGCTTGAAATAAATGCTTCTTTGTGTTTTCTTCAGACAAGAGACCTGTAATCAAGTGCAATAAGGTTGAATTTTTATTCATATGAGAAGATCACGAAATCCGAAACTTTCTGGCTTATTGGCTTACTCCATGGCAAATGCCTACCTCTTCTTCTTATTTTGTAGAGCTAATGCTTGTTATCTGGCAGCATTGCTAAGTTGAAAACAAAGGCAGGTTGGCTTGGGTGAGATTACCCAGAGAGGAGTAGTCCTTTGTTCCTGAGTGTGATGTTTATGTAGAGGAATAAAGTTGTTTTGTGTTTTGGGGGTATGAAAGGTTTCAACATAGACTCATTTGTTTCCTGAAGTGATTTTCTGACATCACATAGTGGCATCCCTTGTGGGGAAATTAAGGATAATGAGCTCTGAAGAGTTGAAAACTGCCAAATTAGAAAGAGCTCAGTGAAGATTTTTTTTTACAACTTTAGCTACTTCAGTAGAAAAGAAAATAGCTAAAAATGATTCCGAGTTAAAAAAGGAATTTAGAAAACTAGAAGCAAGAGCTAAACATCTATTAGAGTTTGAGAAAAAGGTAAGAGCTTTGATACTAGTTGATGAAAAAGAACTGGAGGATGGATTCGATGCATCTGTAAGTTATCAGGACAAGTGGATAGAAATAAAAGGTGAATTTGATGCTTTGGTTGAGCATTAAAATAAAACTTGGCATGATGATATTTCAGCAACTATCAGTCCTTCAAGAGAGAAACAAAAAGAGAGAGAAAGCGATGGCGATGGTGGGAGAAACAATCAAGAAGAGGAGTTGATTCTTGCAGCAGATGTCATGGGACAAAACCTGACAAGAAGGTTAGAACCAATTACTGAATATCTGATAGCCCCAGAAACTAGGATGGACAGTTATTGGCCAAATTAAATCACAGACCTGTTCTATGCCAAGAACAACTACGAAAGGAAGTCATTTACAGCGCTTCCACTCTAGTGCAAGTGAGTCTCACCATTCAGGGAAAGCTGGAATATCTTCGACCCTCTACAATAGTTTACAAAGGGGTCGTCTATATGATGGCACTAGCAAGAAGACCGGATCAGTACCAGTTAAAACAATAATTCCACGCATTGTATTACCCCCTGGAGTAAAAACATCTGTCACACCTCCAGCTCGAAACAGTTTTCCCAGGAGCTTTACAAGATATAATATCAGGTCTGTCGTCAGCCAAAGATCCCCTTCAGAACCAGATCTTAGTCAGAAAAGTACAAGGAGAGGAGTATAAGTAACAATTGGTGTTACGAATAATTCTTCATTGTTCTCTAAAGAAGTTTTCCAAAACTAGAAGAGAAGAAAAAAAAACCAGCTAAGAAATGTTATTAGCCAATGATCTTATAAGGACTAAAAAAGGAAGCATAAAACATTTGTTAAAATAGTTTATTAAGTGTTATTAAATTAATGGTTTAACCTGTTAATTTTTGTATTGTATATTTTAAATTTTGTTTTGTTATCAGTTTACAATTTAAAGCATAAATTGTAAAGGTGGAAATATGTAGAGTTAATGCTTATTATCTGGCAGCACTGCTGAGTTGTAAACAAAGGTAGGTTGGCTTGGGTGCGGTTACCCGGAGAGTAGTCCTTTGTTCCTGACTGTGTGATGTTTATTTAGAGGAATAAAGGTGTTTTGTGTAGTTGTGGTGTGAAAGTTTATCAATAGAGCCTCATTTGTTTCCTGAAGTGATTTTCTGACATCACATATTTGTTTGGTTTTTTCATACAATTCGTCCATGAAAATATTTCTTTCTCAGAACATTCCTAACAGTTTCTGGATTTAGGCACAACTAAACTCAGTTTAGGGCAGGTTCCTAAACCGTTTTAAAACTAATAAGTGGAATCCTTTATTAATCGATGAATTGCCGATAGCTCAGGGGTCCGATTTACTTTTAGGATCGATGGTTTCGGTAAATCTAACCTCATTATAATCTCAGTGTTTTTTCTATGTTAACATTACAGACCTTTCGCCTGAGATCTCTTTACGCCTTAATCAGCCAGAAGCAAATATAAAGAATCATATTTGAATATCTAGGACTGTTTCTTTCCAGTTATCTGCATGCGCTATTACATCTTTGTTGATTCAATCATTCTTTCTGCTTTTTAGCCTTCCACATGGCCTTTTGCCTACTATTGAGGAATTTATTGTAGATGCTTTCAGATGGAATGCTCCTAGTTACATGTCCCACCCGTCTTAACTTCCTTGGATTTTTGCCCTTTCCTTGTCATCATGAGATAATGATCGTCCAGTTTCTGCAAGCAGCTCCCTATAGATTTTTCCTCCAAGTCTCGTAGCCGTATATGACAACTGGCTCTACCACTGAAATGTACAACCTTAATATGAGATTTTTCTGAATTTCAATACTTTTGATAGAAAAAAGAAAGCTCTGCGCATGTTATACGCTGGGTCTATTTTCGGCCGTTGGTCATTTATTGAGGTTATTGTGGATCCGAGGTATTTGAATTTGTAAGCTAACAGAAATGATTTCCCTCCTACGAGGCTCTGTTATAAGAAGAAGAAGAAGACAAATAAATTTTATTCTGGGACTAAGTCCCCTTAGAATAAATACAATGTACAATTTAATGGCAATTGTCTGGCATTATGAATAAATTAAACTACATGGTGGTCTAGATCTAAGATTACAATAAAGAAAAAGTACTGTTAGATATCTGAAATCATAGATAAATTCAGATATACGAGTTCACATATTTCTTCACATAAACAACGTGGGTGGTATATAATTATCTGTCAGATAACATTAAAGCGACTGACAGATCTGAAAAACGTGAACATTATTTTACACATATTCGGAAGATTGATTTCTGGGGAGATGGATAAATAAATTTTGTTTAAATGAGGTCAAGGATGATGATTTGCGTATGGAGGTTGGTAGGGTCATATAGCATGTACCGGGCTTACCAATATTGTACACCATGTACTAAAGGACTGAGTATGGTGAGCAGGTTGAAATGGAACGATGAATAGGTCAAGAGAATGGATAGGATCTACGAGGTATGATTTGACGGGAGATTCGGGGGATAAATTGGTATTAAAATCGCCTGCTATTATTACATTGTCGTATTAAGGAAAGTAGGTATGAAGGGAAGGCAGGATCAAATCGGACATGTGATGAAGTAGAGAAGGGAAAAGGAATCTGAGGAAATTTCTACAAATAAGTACTCTAAATGGGAAATGCCGGGAGAAGGATACTTGTGGAGGATTTTTGCCCTCAGACCTTCATGAATATAAAGACCGACACCCCCACCTATTCGGTCCACCCGGTCATGACGGATGAGGTTGTAGTTAGGGATGGATATAGAGGAGGTGGAAATATTTGGTTTGAGCCAGGTTTCCGAAACGGCAATAATATGGTAAGAATTATGGAGGAAATAATCTTAGAATGTTGGAAATAATCTTGGAATCCATCAAAGTGGCCCAGAAGGAATTGGCAGTTAACATGGCACGTTAATAGGATATTTGTCATTTAGAATAAGGAAGGATATACATCATTGAAAATTTGGAAAGGAAAGGGACAATCATAAAAGAGTAAATTTGAGTTCCCTCAGACCAAGAAAATACAATAAAACAGGGTAAAACAAAAAAATTATAGTGAGATTTGACAAAATATAAAACATTTGCATCTGATAAAAATGAAAGACAGTTAACACTAGAAAAAAAGAAAGTAATAAAATAAGAATAAAGACTATGTGCAGATATATACAAAAACGGGTAAAGAAATAATCTAAACGAACAAAGCTCCGAATATTCTGGTTAATAAAGAACATAAAATAATATTCCTTGAGGGGAAAATTAGATATTGAGGAAGATATCAAATAAATACATAAAAAAATCCTGATAACTACGAAAAAATATGAAGCAGAGAGGTGACTATGAGGTTTCCGTCATTGAAATACGACTAAATCTTCGGCCTTGTATATGGAAGAATTTACGGCTTATGATCATAAATTTTGATTTATCACTGTTGGATTTACATAAAAAAAATTTATTGCATATAATTTTACCATTGGGTAGTTCCTCAACAATCGTTTTCTTGTGATTATTTTCTTGTGTACACATTTACTTGATGTATTATATTGTAATACAGTTGTAAATATTTTGAATAAATAGTTTTAAAAAAATGTATACAATATTGGTATTATATACCATATATTTGTATGCTGCTTTTTATTAATAACACGGCGCCCCCCCCCCGGTCTAAACATGCCCCTACCACCTTCTCGAGGACGGCCTTATCTACGAACGAAGTCCAGGTGCTTGAATAAGCACCCGACCTCGTCCTCATTTGCTCAGCCGACTTCAAGCAGCTCACGGCTAACCGACAGAAAGAAAACGGAGAGGACACAGCTCTTCGGCTACACCATCCGCATTAGGCGAAGGCAGCGAGCACGGCACGGACGCGCCCAAGACTATGGAGACATGAGACCGGTCTCCCCGCAAATAATTATATGCTACGACTTATGATTAATAAACTAAATCACTAAAATTCATGTCCCTTCAGGGTTATTAATTTGAAAAAAATAAAAAGGAATTAATATCATAAAGGCCTTATTATTCACAAATATTCCTTCCAATAAAAAATTTCTATTTTTTACAAGAAAAGGGCTTCCAGTCATGTGGTATGTACCGGCCCTCCCCGTATACTGTACAATCACCGTTTACTTGTTGGCCAATTCGCTCTGCTTCTCTTATCAGATTCTTAGCGAGTTTCTTAATGTCCTCTTGGTTGCTTCCAAGTTTTTAAAATTAAAAACAGGCATTTATTGGATAAAAAGTTGTTTATTTTAGTGTTTTTTAAAATTGTTTTTCTTTTTTTATGTTGTTCATCATTTACTATACATATTTATTTTCAGTTTACACTATATCTGTATTTATTTCCGTTTAGAAACTCAACAAGTCAGTAGGTAAATCTTTGATTTTATATCTTTTATTTTTCATGTGTTTTGTAACCTTCCAGGGGTGTTAACTTTCAGCTAGAATACAACAGGTCGTTCCTAAATTCAGCATCGGAAATTCGTTCGCTGTCCATCGGTACTGGATTCCTTCGATGGAATTAGCAACGAGTTTACTCAGTTTAGGAACTTACAGGCACAGTTCCCACTCCACAAACACGCAAGCAGGGTAGAGCTGCAACTCCTCCATAAGATGGATAAAAAAGAAACACCAGTCTATGAGCTAAAAGCAATAGAACTATAAACTATAGCTCAAAAGTACACTCCTCAGGATTGGCTTCACATTTATACCGATGGATCAGCTAAATCAGCCGTTAGAATTGCTGGGGCAGGGATTCACTCGAGAGATTTTCAGTTCAGTGCTGCGGTGGGTGAGATAGCAGCGATCCTCATAGCCCTAAGAACATTATCAGGAAGGCAAGTTCAGGGCGCTGTTCTCTTTGTCGTCCCTCAAGCAGCAATCCTCGCTATTACTGACGCGAATAAATGTCCTCCGAGTGCTGTCTTGGAGTGCAAATCCCTCCTCTACGATCTACAGTCCGAGGCACCAATGTGGTCCTACAGTCGATTCCGAGCTATTGCGGTATCCAGGAAATGAGGAAGCAGATAGCCTCGCCAGGAGAGGAGAAGATTCAAGATTGAACTCAAACAGTCCATCCAAAATCTTACGATTCAATCGTACCATCGAGGATGGTAGTGAAGGAGGAAACAAAAAATATATACAAAGACAAAGTGGAAGGGAGACGTTATGGATGTTTGATGGAAAACCCGATCCCAGCTGACCGACCAAGAAGAGATGCAGTAGCCTGCTTCCGCCTGGCCACTGGTCACGAGTATCTACAAAGTCATCTCCACAAGATGCAGAAAATGGATGCAGACCACCTAGACAAATGTCCTGCTTTGACGGACATAAGAAATAAAACATTTGTGAATGATTATATAAAAAAATTAAACTTATACTGGGCACAAAGATGTCGGATGGTCGAATGAACAATGACTATGGCATACGAAAAAAAAAGAGGAAAAAGTTCAGGAACTCGCCCGTATTCAAGTTGCATCTATTCAATGATTGATTACTACTACTATGAAGAAATACTGAACGAATCTGAAAATGTTTAAAAAGAGTGAATAGTTTCTGAACGAGTGAAAAAGTGTTTAGCATTTTACAAGTGCCTTTACTCAGTTTTAATCCTGTATGTTAGACCAATTTTCATATTTGTAATTCTTTAGTTTTTTAATGTTTAAAATTAAAAACAAATATTTTTTTGATAAAAAGTTGTTTATTTCAGTGACTTTTTTACTTTATTTAGTTTTTTTATATTGGTCATTTGTTTATTTTTTTCCGAAAAGTAAGTTTATCATAAATTTACTATATCATGCTATAGCTCTTAGTATTTATTTTGATGAATTATTACTTGTTGAGTTTAAGTATTTTCTATTTCATCATTATATCTGTAAGGAATACAGGCGTATTCCCTTAAGTGATCAGAACTGGCATAGAATTAAGTCTAAATATTCTATATAAATATTAACACTTTCTTTCTTACCATAATACGTTTGTCTTGCGACTCCTTTTTGTGTGACCAACTCTGTTTATCTTTCTTTTCTTATTTTTCTCCTCTTTTCTTTTTTCCTGTCTTTCTGTTTTCCATATCTTCATCTCTATTTTGTGTATATTGATACATTTGCTCTTTTATCTTTTTTACATTATACTAACTTTTTATTCTCTTATACATAGTCAGTATGTTTTGATAGATTTTACAATATCTCAATTTTCTATTTGTATCTCTTATTTCCTTATATAACTAAATATTCCTTTTCTCTGTTTTACATTTTATTATGATTATCTCGCTTCCTTTTAGCATACTATTACATCGTATTTTAGCAACTATGTCACCCCATTTATTTTATTTTTTTTGTCTACACTTATGTTTATTATCTTATACATTCCACAACTTTTCGTTTAAGCTGCAATGTGCCTTCACGAGCGAATGAAAAGAATGGACCAAGAGTTTTGGAAAAATTACAAAATCCCCTCTCAACGGCTCAAGACACAAAAATCCTTCATGCTGAAGGCGATGGCACTACTTGAAGAAAGAGGGCTTGACTGCGAAGAAAGGGAACCGTTTATACATCCACAGTTACCAATTCACAATCATGCATGCAATGCAGAACTGCAACTCCTTCATAAGGTGGATAAGAAAGAAACACCTGAAGCATTAGCATTAGAAACTATAGCTCAAATGTACCCTCCTCAAGATTGACTCCATATCTATACCGACAGATCAGTTGAATCAGCCGTTAAAAATGCTGGAGCAGGGGTTTACTCAATTACAAATCAGCGCTGCGGTGGGTAAAGATGGAACAAATTTCGACCGTGAGATAGTGGCGATCCTCATAGCCTTAAGAACATTGTCTAGAAGGCGGGATCAGAGCGCTGTTATCTTCATCGACTCCCAAGCAGCCATCCTCACTGTTACAAGCACGAATGAATGTTTATCGAGTGCTATATTGGAATGTAAATCCCTCCTCTCTAACCTGACACACCGAGGCACCAATGTGGTCCTACAGTGGATCCTCAGCCATTGTGGGATCCCGGGAAACATTGAGGCCGATATTCTTGCCAAGGGAGGAACAGATTTGCCTCAGCTGATACATCCAAAACCCTATGACTCAATACGGCGAATGGTAAAAATAGTAGTGAAGGAAGAAATAAGAAAAGCACATTTCTTGAACTTTGGGCTGAAACGTCGGCAAAAATAAAAATAAATATAATTATTTATTTTTGCTATTTTTTTTGACTGATCACCCCAACCATTCTTCTCTTCAATTATTCACTACAGTCAACCATCAATCCACAATTCTAAATATTTTAAATCATATAGGATAGACTTACCTCCAGTTTTGTTAAAACATTATGTGAAATTAAAAAAAGTGTGAAGTTCTGTCTCTTCTAAGCATAAGTGTTTCCTATATACATTACTTCATAATGTACATGCAATCTGAAAATAGCTAAGTTTGTCAGAAAAAGTACGGAGGTAGTCAATCTGCAGTATCCTAATTATTGGACACACTTGGTATTTCGGGTCCTCCTTTTAGATACATTAAGTTAGATTACATTTCCAACATGAATATGATTTTGAAGAAATTGGGTATTTGCATCAATTTACAATTTGAGTGAACTATATGACAAAAACAATGCAAAAAGCCCCAAATTTCTCATTGGCATACTTGCAAAAATAACACAGACCAACAGTAGTTTTTGTGCTGGGGTATTTGGAACTGATATTATATAAATTTTTAAGCATATCATTTGCCACTTCAACATTGTTTTATACTTTTCGTTGGCCCAGAAAATGTCTGGCAACGGCGAAAAATGAAGTCTAGTCTATTCGCTCAGCCTTATTCATGGAATTTATAAAGGCTTGGTCCTTAATGAGTTATATTATTTCTGGGTCGTTAAATATTCTTCTTTAATTTTTCCTTATTCAAGTGGGGATTTTTCGCCCATAAATCCAAAACATGATCCATTGTCATCAAGCACCTCTACAAATTGCTTCATAAGGCCCAGCTTGATAAACAGTGGAGGAAAAATGATTTTCTCTGGTTCATCTAAGGATTCGTTTATAACGTTATTTTCTCCAATGACTGCTCTCTCTCCACCTTTTTCCTCTTAGGCCACTCTTGTCTGACCCAGTGGTGTGTTTTGTCTTTGTTATCCAAGAAGAAAATTTACCATTTTCAAGTCCACACAAATCACCCATTGACGTTCATGAAAATTCATCTTCCCCTAGACCAAACCTATGGTGCTATATGTTTCTTTCATTATTGATGAGTGAGCAATTGGTATTGAACTAATTTTGTTCCCATTGTGTAGAACAACATATTACAAGCTTCGCTTTGAGCTATCAATAAATAGGCAAAATCTGGAAAATATTCAGGAAGACTGGAAAATTTCAAGGAGTCCTCTAATATCATGACAAATTACAAGATTTTCTTCTTGAGAGAAGAACCTTAGCAGACACTTTTCTTTTGTATGGTAAAAAATAATTTTGGTTCCTTGTTCTTATAAATGTTTGTCATTCAACATGAAAGCCAGTAATTCAGAAGCTTCTTTTGACAGGTCAATATCTCTGACGACGTCATTTAACTCATCCTGATTGAAACAATCCTGAGGAGCTAAATAATCAATAATGCTTGCTAACCGAGGATATATGGGACAAAGAATCCATGCCAGCAGAGTGGAAAACAAGTTTAATCTACCCTATACATAAAAAGGCTGCTCTGCAAAAATTACAGAGAAATATCACTCTTAGGAGTTGCGTACAAAATATTCTCCAACATATTGGTTCAAAGATTAAATGAATTTGCCGAGAATGTTCTATAGGAATACCAATGCGGATTCCGCTGGGGCAGGGGAACGACGGATCAGATCTTTGTAATGAGACAATTAATGGAAAAGTGCTGGGAGTATAAAACTTATCTTCACATGCTGTTTATAGACTACCGCCATGCTTTCAATAGTGTGAACAGAAATAACATGATACGTGCTCTAGGAGATTCCAATATTCCAAATAAACTAATTCGCTTGATACAAATATCTATGGACGGCAGTAATGCTAAAGTGTGTATTTATGGTACACTTAGTCACGGTTTTGTAGTCACTGCTGGAGTTAGGCAAGGAGATGCGCTATCGGCTACACTATTTAACCTTGCACTACATAGTGTGATTGTGAAGCTAAACTCTGTGAAGGGATATACTCTGTTCATCCACTAAAATATGTGCATAAGCTGATGATATTAGCATAGTGGCAAGAAATAATTAATCTCTTATCAATTTGTTCAAGCTGTTGAAGGCGGAAGGTGAAGTGTTTGGTTTAGAAGTCAATGAAAGAAAAACCAAGTACATGTTTGTAAGTTCAGGCAGTGATACAAGAGCTAGAGAAGATCTGTGCGTTGAAGATTTTTCTTTTGAAAATGTTAAATCCTTCTCCTATCTTGGTGTAGAGCTTAATTGCACAAATGGAATATTAGCAGAAGTGAATAGACGGATTATGGCAGGTAACTGGGCTTATTACGCAAACATAAAACTCTTCCGCTCATCGCTGTTGTCACGACCGACAAAAATAAGATTGTATAAAACATTGGTAAGACCAGTAGTGACATATTCTGTGGAAACTTGGATCCTTTGCACCACCACAATAAATGCATTGGAGGTTTTTGAGAGGCAAATTCTCATTAAAATTTATGGACCTGTATTGAAAGAGAGCGAATGGAGAATCTGGAAGAACAGTGAACTATATGAGCTATATGGATCTTGTGACATTGTCCGCTTCATACGAGCAAGGAGAATCGAATGGTTGGGTCAGGTAACACGGATGAATGAAGTGAGAATGCGAAAAAGAATTCTGTTTGGAAAGATGTATGGCACCAGAAGGAGAGAGCGACCTCGGAGACGATGGATTCAGGATGTGGAAAGGGATCTGGAGAGTCTTGGTACAAGGAACTGGAGGAGTAGAGCGTTGTGCAGAGAGGACTGGTGCAATGTTGTCAGGGAAGCCAAGGCTCACCCCGGGCTGTAGAGCTACGTAACAAATGAATAAGTAAGATTGAAACAGGATTCCCAGCCTGGTCAAGCAGGAAGTAAGCAGATTAAGTCAAGTAGGCAGTTTTACTTCTCTTTTCATGCTTATCTCAAAAAGTAGAGCTGAGTGAAAAAAACTGATTTCATTCAGATTCAGTGTCCCTGATATAGCTACAATTAATTCCAAAATCCTAGGCACCAAAAAATTTGGTTTCTCTTGTAGGACTGTATAATTAGTGTTGAAGAACATTAATGGGCACAGAGCTACATCATGAGAGTAGCTCAGCTACTCATGAGACAAGTCTCCTAATGTGCTGTCAGCCCCTAGCATCCAATACTTTTTAGCTTAGAGTAGTGTTTCAATTTCAAAATTTTCATCCAAGAAAGATCTTTTCATTTTTTTTTTCTTTCACACGGATGTCTCTGAATAAAATTATTTGTTTAAAATGTATTTTATTAACTTTTTTTTTGTTCTTCCCTACCTCGCCATTTAGGCTATCAGAGTTTTCCCAGGCCAGGGGGTGAGGGCGGGGAATTTAAAATCCCCTCCGGCACCAAGACATAAATTCGTATTTTTTTAATTTCCAAAATTTCAATTATCTGGTTGCCGTACAACTGCACCCGTGATAGCCCATTCGGCCATCCCGCCCCCTTGTATTTTATTATCTTTTACAAATTCATGTTTATAAAATAGAGCTGAGAGAGATTTTGCAGCAGTAAAGGTGGACTGATGGCACACCCCTAATTCCCAGCACAACTCCCAGGCGCATTTTTTCATTCTAATGCAGCTCAAATTGTTGTAACTTTTTTTCATGCAAGTACCCAATTATAGAGAAAAGATAATATAAAGCATTTTATCCCATATCTCATCATGTTTGGCATAAGAGGTATTAACGAGATGTGGTTGATTTAGAGATACAACCAAACCTATTCCAATCACAGTAGGAAGGTCGAGATTCTTTCCGTGAGTCTGCCACAAAATAAATTTCAACCTTACCAACCTACATTTGAACCGGTGTTGCAAGACTTGAAAATCTTAAAGTGTACGATATATAAGGCTCAGCCATCATTACCCCTGGAATAATATTGTTGAAAACTGTAAGGTCATGGAGATGAAAACTTGGAACTAGTCAGATCTCTCCAAATCTTTTTTCAAAAAGCCCGAGAGGAGAACAGAATCCCTTCCCCCAAATAAAAATAGAATATTTAACGTGACTCCCATACTCAAGAAAGGCAGTCAAAATGCTTATATATAGACCATTATGTCTTTTCCCACTAGTCAAGAAAATATTCAAGTCCATTTTAGAAAATATATTCAGAGTTTTTACTGATCTGGAACTTCCAAGACTATTGGAAAAAGTCAGGACCCTAACCATTGTATAATGATAATGCAATTAAATTATTTTTTCAAAAATTAAAAAAAAAAGTTTTTCTTTAAATATAATTATGTATTTATTGATTATTTATTTTATTTTTTTTTTAGAAAATTTTAAAGCACCTGAAAAAGTTGAGCCTAAGACATATTACAGAGTTCATATAATTGGGAAAGCTGCAATAGGACAATATTTATGGTTACATTTATTTAATGGAAGCTTGGATATTATTGAAAAAGGTTTTTTTCAGAATGGAAATAAAACTATAGACAACATCATATTCAATTATTATAGTGGACCTGGATATATTCAGAATTCTATTCCCCATGAAATACAGTTTTTAATATTGATTATTAATGGACGAACTTCTAAACATGTTTTAAAAGCAAAAGAATGGTTAGATTTCTTACCTGAAATCCATTCTCTCAAAAAAACTGCAATCATATTGTTAGGTAATGAAAAATGTCAAAATCATTGGATTTTACCTTATATGAAGTCTAAAGGAGGAATGATTGATGTTCTATTCTTAGTTTATGACTCAATTCTGATTGATAATAAGGAAATTTTCCAATGGCCCCTTGGTGTTGCCACGTAAGTACTCCAAGTATCACAAATAACTGGACAACTAAGGTGGGTTTTTTATTCTTTTTATTAATTATTGAAAAACTCAAGTCCATCTTGTTTCACTTTAATCTGTGACATACTTCTCTAAAAATAATGAACAGATATTCGAACAAAGTAAATTTGCGCCAAAATGGTTCCAATATCATCAATGGTTTTACTGTAATGTATGCTTCTGTAGTAATGATTTTTTTTTTTTCCATTGATTGTTTCTTCTTAAATATTTTCAGTCATTATTAAGTGAGTTTGGACTTTAAAATTTCTCTTCTAAATTAATATACATACATCAAAAAGATTTTGTGTTGTAGAAAATCGAAAAAGGGCAAAATTATCACCATCCATCCTACAACCAAATTAAAATCTTACCAGGAACCATTAAATTCAACATCTTTCAAAAATAAACAGTAGAGAAATGCGTGAAAGAGACATTTGTGCTTGCCCAATCTCCTTTTGATTTCTCTGAAAAACCAACAGCATATGGATTAGTCACAAACATAGGGACAAAAAGAGTAGCTTTGAAAAACACCACATTTAGGTGGTTCGTGGTTCTCGTAGTTTTTAAAATATGTAAATGTACCTTAAAGTACCCTAGTGAAATTCCAATTTTTTTTTGGTCTACTCAATTGTGATGGGAGATTGCCTCTTACTGCTTGTCTTACTGGTTATTCCTAGATTAAACATTAAGCTCCTTCCTTCACTATCTTCTACCTCAATAATAATCACAAAAAAAAAAAAAACCCACAGAATTACCTTTCATTAGCACATTTCCTAGAATTAGAAGAGATGTGAATGTGTGGTGTGATGTCATGTCATTGGAAGTCATATTGCTATAGAGACCATTTTGAAGCTATAAGTTGTAGAAAAATTGTTTTTTGATTATTAATCAGAGGTTTAAAATCTGTTGAAAAAAAGAATAATTTTAACAAAATCTTGGTTGTCTATTGTCAGTTTTAATAACATTAAAGTATTCATTTTTATTTATTGTCATATTTCATTTAATTTTATAATTATATTGGGTTGTCCAGAAAATAATGCAGGATTTGGAGTTTTCTTTCAAATACCCTTCTATATAACAAACTGTTTAAGTTTACTGGATTATTCATTTGTATGAATGTCAACACTTATTAATCCTCTTCCGAACGATAATGTTTGTTTACCTCTGTAACATTTTGCTGCTTAGAAATAATTCAGTCTTTACTAAGTTGTCAATGCGTGATTTTCGTAATTTTGTTTTACAAGTTTAAACTTGGCCAGAATGGAGCCCAGACGGCCAGAAACATCAATCAAGTCTGGGGGAAGAGCAGCATTAATGAGTGTACTGTTCAACGGTGGTTAAAACAATTTCGGGAGGGAGACTTCAGCCTTAAAGACAAAGAAGGTCGTGGAAGGACTTCCTCTCTTGATGGTGATGTTCTGCAGTTTTTGGTGGAAGAAAACCGCAGAAGAACTAGTTCGAGAACTTGCAGGGAAACTTAACCTTAGCAAAAAAACTGTCATTAAGCTTGAAAGTTGGATTCCACACACATTAAATGACCAACAAAAAAAAACAATGTTATGAAGTTTGTGCTACACTTTTTTGCTGAAACAAAAACTACCCTTTTCTGTCCAGAATTTTTACTTGTGATGAAAAGTGGATACTTTAGGATAGCAGTAGACGTTCTGGACAATGGCTCAACAAAGGAAAAGCAGTAGAACATTTTCCAAAGCCCCCAACTCATCAAAAAAAGGTTATGGTTACTGTTTGGTGGCCTTCATTTGGTTTGATACTCTACAGCTTCTTAAATCCTGGAGAACCATCAATGCCGAATTATATTGTAACCAAATTAATGCAATGCATCAGAAATTGGCAATAATGAAGCCATCTTTGGTCAATTGGAAGGAGCCAATTTTGTTGCATGACAACACCTGGCCGCATGTCTCACATGTAACATCACAAAAAATGTTATATTTTGGATATGAAACTGTGCCACATCCGCCCTACTCCCGGGTCTCTCGCTACAGATTATCATTTTTTAGACACATGGACCACTACTTACGTGACAAAAAACTTGATGGACAAAGGGATTAGAATATGCATGTTTGGAGTTTATCATTTCTAAAGATTGGAAATTCTATTCCGTGGGAATGGGAAAGTTGCCAACACGTTGGCAGAAATGTATTGATAGTAGTGGAGACTATTTTGATTAAATAAAACAGTTGTAAATCTTCCTTTTTTTCTTTTTAAACCAAAATCCTGCATTATTTTCCAGACAACTCCATAGTTATATGGGTTGTACTCATTTTATTTATAATTATACTCTGTAATAGAGATATTGGGTCTTAGATTTTCTGTCCATAATAAAACTATTTTTTTTTCATATATACAAATATGTAGATATACATACTTAATTTTTAATCCATAGTACCTATTTTGTGTATTGTTCAGTATGACCTACTCACATCTTCTTATCTTATAATATTCTTCTCAGTATATAGTTTAAATTTTAGATATCGTGGATTTCCTAATTTGGACTACAACCAGATTAAACATGTAACTAGTCCTAGGAAGTATAAATGTAATTTCATGGGCACAGTTTATAAAAATTCATCACGTGAGATCGTAGATGCATTATTAAAAACGAGTAGGCTCAGAAACATTTGCTACTTATCTACTCGTCACAAGTAAGTGTCTGTTGTTATATTTATTCTTAGTGATATTGACTTAGAATAAATACATTCATGTTATGAATTATATAAACCAGAGGTATCCAAGCCTTTTAGCCATGAGACGGCAGTGAATCTACAATTTCTTATGGACCAAACTGATTCCTTTATTACATCAAAAAGCCCTGCATCTTGGCTTTTTGATGTAATAAAATGTGATAGACTGAATCGGTGCTACTTGCTGCCCTTAGTTTGGAGACCCCTGTTGATGACTAAGTCTAAGTGTTATTGAAATTAATGAGAAATATCTTTTTGAGGAGTTGGTCGGGAATGCGGTCAAATAAATACTATATATTGAAATAGTATTGGTTATGCCGACGTTTCGACCCACTTTGTAGATCTTCATCAGGGCTATATATATAAAAGGTACACAGTAAAAATAAAATAAATGAATTATTAGTAATATTAAATAAGAAACAGTGGTCTGATAAAGAAATAAAAGAACTAACAAGATGACATCAGTGATATAGTGGGTGATAGTATAGTTAAAATATAAAGTATCTAGAAGATAAAAACAAAAATAAAAAACAAAGGTGAATATAGCCTGTTAGTTAAAAGTAAACAGATTGTGATAAAAAAAAGGTATAGGTGGATAACTAGGAAATATTACATAAACTAAAAATAAACAAACTAGTAAAGGTTACACTTGATAACTGTAGGTTAACAGATAAAGAAACTCACTCTTCATACCTCAATTTGGAATTCAGTCTGTACTATAGAGTTTTTCAAATTACGGATTTCATACCTCATTCTTTCCACATGGTCCTTTATTTGGTGGATTCACTTCAGCCTCTGACAGAGTTTGATTCTAATCAGAGTATGGTCTGAATCACAGTCTGCTCCACGATAGCTCCTTACGATTTTTATGGAGCTTCGAATGTCAATTGTCATTTATATATACTATATCTCTCTACATCACAACGTTGTTTACAATCTGAATTTCTCTTCTAATTTTTTTTTTTGTATAGTCCAATATATATAATAAATTTATCCTAACGATACTATAACTCACACAGTTTTTAATTTATTTATTTGTTAACCTTTATTCTTTTTATCTGTTAACCTGCATTTATCAAGTTTAACCTCTACTAGCTTGTTGCTCCACTGATATCTTATTATTATTTTACCTTTACTAGATCATTACTTATTAATTCTTCAATTTCTTTGTTTGTTAACCTTCATTTTCTTTATCTGTCAACCTACAGTTATCAAGTCTAACCTTAACTGGTTTGTTTATTGTTAGTTTGTGTAATATTTCCTAGTAAGCCACCCATATCTTTTTTTTTTTTTAATCACAATCTGTTTACTTTTAACTAACAGGCTATATTCAGTTATTTTATTTCTTTATCAGACCACTGTTTCTTATTTAATATCTACTAATAATTCATTTATTTTATTTTTACTGTGTACCTTTTATATTTTGTAGCCCTGATGAAGACCTACAGAGTGGGTCGAAACATCAGCGTAATCAATAAAATAAGGTTACTGAATATACAATAAGGTAATATACTGTTTAATGTTTGCTGATTATTGTATTTCGGCTTGAGTTGTAGACCTTCATCAACATTGATTTGACACCTGTAGACGATGGAATCAATGTCTTTTAATGCATGAAATCAATTCTCATGAAGGCCTAAAACTTCTGCCTAAATGTTAGAACATATAAATGCAGTGTAATAGGGTACTGTGTATTTTATTTCTGTCCACATCCCAACTACTTACAACTTCAAACCATATGTTTTTACAAGGTCATATGCTCTCAGAGTATGTTTGTGAATTTGGTAAATGGTTCTTTCATAGATTAACTGAAGAAGAGAAAGAAAGAAGAAGAAAAAATAATTACTTTCATTGAGATGAGCACCCAGATATTGCAAATTATCCACCTGCTCTAATTTCTCTCAATTTACTCTTATTATTCTGTGGGATTTTTTTCTTAACCACATACATTTGGTCTTTTCCTGGTCGATTCTCATATTTATTATATTATGTTGGAGGTCTCGGTCATTGGCAGCTAGCAAGACGCTGTTATCAGCGAATGCTAATACGGAGAATCTTGTGGGATGTAGGTTTCTGTGTTCTAACTGGAACTGCCTCATTCTTTGTTTAGCTTTCCTTAGTGACTGGTCTTAAACTAATATTAATAGTAGCAAACTACAAATTTGGCTAATACTTAATGTCATCTTAAATTCCTGTTATTATGGTTTATGGTCCTAACCACATTTCTAGTCATGTTGTAGAGACTCTTCTCCAAGCTGACTGTTGGCTACTCTTTTCACTCTCGCCTCCAGTATTCTAGAATAGACCTTGCCACGTACACTGAAAATCAAAATTCCTCAGTTATTGCCACATTCTCAGTTGTCTCCCTTCTTATGAATGGTCACGATTACTGAAACTTCCCGGATTTTAGGAATCTTCTTTTCTTTCTAGATCAGATTCAGAAGATGGAGGAACATTTCTTGGCCTTTTCTATCCATATACTTGATCATTTCAGGAGTAATTTCACCAACTCCTGTTGATTTGCTTAGTTTGATCTTAGAGATGGCTTCCTACACTTCTTCTTTGCTAATTTAGTCATCCTCCAGCGAAACATCCTCTTCATTACTCTGGGTTTCTCACATCCCTCTCCTCCAGCTCTTTAAAATATTCCCTCCATCTTTTCTTAATGAGTTCATCTCACTAGATGACATTCCCATTCTTTCCTTTTATTCCTTTCAGAGAAGTCAGTCGATCCCTTATAGAGGACTTTCTGGTTATCTTTTGAGTTTTCCTTCAGCTTATGACCAAAATTCTACTAAGATTCTCTTTTTACCTCTAGGACTTTTAATTTGGCTTCTTTCCTCTAGTCCTTGTACACTTAATGGGCAGCGGGAGTTCTCAGGCTCAAGTGTTTCTTCCATGCTGCCTTCTTTCCTTGGATAGTCTTTTTCATATCATATTTCCATCAGGCAGCTCTCTTGGGACCAGATCCAACATTTTTTTCACCACAGACCTACTTTGAGGTATCAAGAAGAATTTTCCTAAAAGTTATCCAGCTCCTCTGTCAATGTCATCATAATCCTATGGTCTGCTTGGTCTAAGGTCATTCTTTCTATTTTCTCTTGTAAATAAGACACCACTTCCTGCTGCTTTAGGCGGTAGATTACTTTTCTAGAGGTTCTTTTGTCTTTTTCGTGGGTTCGCATCATTCCAGAATTCATTCACCTACAGAAGATAATAGTTACTTCCGATCTTGAATCCTCTTTTTATTCTGACATCCTATAAGTTCTGCATTTTTTTTTTTTTTTTTTCTTTACCAGAATATAATCTATAATCGATTTTTCATTGAGAAATTGAAAGTACTCATATTAAAATTTCAAAATACTTGAATAAAGTGTCAATTTATTAACATTGTTATTAATGATTTTTTTTAGGTGGTTACCTAATGAGTCAGAAGAAAGTCGTGCAGAATACTTGAGTATTCTTCAAGATTCAGACTTCACTTTAAACCCAGTTGGGGAAAATACTGAATGTTATCGTATTTATGAAGCTGTGGAACTGGGAAGTATACCTATTGTTGAAGATAATATGACTCCAGGACTATGTGTTTCATCTTTAAGATTGTTAAAAAAATTTAATCCTCCATTTGTATTTGTAAAAAACTGGAAAAATCTCCATGAGGTGTTACAAACAGACAATTTAAATTTAGAAAATATTATAGAACAAAGAGTTAAGTTGTTACTATGGTATAATATTTTCAAGAAAAATATTGTTACATACTTCTTAAATATATTAAAAGAATCTTTTTTTTAACTTTTAATTGTTACAGTAATTCATCCTAAGTCTTCTACCAAAGAAATTAAATCACGACTTTGAATATTTCCTTAATAATTTATGTTTTATTATTAAAATGGGAGATGATTTGTATTATTTTATATTTTTTATACTTCTATTGTTATTTTGTGAGATAAATGGGCCATTATAATACATAAAAGTTCCTGTTAATTAATAGACATGAATAAAACCTAACTTATTCATGAACCACCAGTAGTGGAAAAAAAAAAGAATGGTTCACTTTGAATAAGGTTTTATTTCACATAACCAAGATAACTTTAGTTTATAACAGTTTCAACACAAAAGATCTCATGGCTAAAATAGTAATTATGATAATTAAATAAATAATAATTTATTTAATATTATTTATTTTCCTATTATTTTTATTATATACCATTAAAATTTTATGAATCCTAAATAAATGAACCTTAAGGGCCTTTATTGGATGTATGTACATGTTATACAGCATATCCATATATATGCTGTCTATGTTCCTGTTTGTATTCTGTATGTAGTTTTAAGTGTTTTGTATATAGATAGTTTCATTTTTGCTGTATACTGCTGGTTTACTTAATATGTTTTTTTTTTTTAATTATTTAATACAACAGATCTTTTGGCTAGAACTAATCCTTTCTTTTTCTGTACAACTGTATTATTCTTAAGGGACTTTGAAGGTACTTACTCCCAGAGTAAAGTTAATTTTATATTCTATTCTATTCTATATTTTATAATAAAGATTATGAATAAATCAATTGAAATAGCTCTATTCCATTCACCCCTTCCTAGGAAGAGATATGATGCTTGCTGTAGGGTGGAGTTATTCTATTTTGGGTACTTCTTCCTTGCTGCTCCTGGACTTGTGTGGCAAAACAGAGTGTGTGGCTCCTCAACTATGTTTTCTGCAGAGAATGTATTAGAAAGTGTAGACCCTATTAGGATTTATTCCACCTGCATACTGTCAGTATTGGCCATCAAGAGAAGTTTGAAGATCTTGAGGTCCTTAAAAAAAAATAACTCTCGTGAGTTTCAATAAGTCAACATTCTAAATTTTAAGCAACATTCTAGTTTTTAAGCAGTGGAATGTATCTTAAGGGATTAGTAGGTTAATGATTGTGCAAAAAAAATAGCTTACCGTCTATATGCCAGCCTACATCTTTTTTACTTGGAGGGCCCTCCGTACGTGACTTCTTGTGCTGGAGATGGTACTTGGCCAGTGACTGCCGACCTAATAGGTCGAAACAACCAGTCGCTTTCAAGGCATAAATTTTATCTTTTAGATCTGCCCCCACCACTAGCCGTAACGCGGGAAAATTTAAATGAAAACCATTCTTTGGCACAATCAGCGTCACTGGATCAACATAAACATAAATATGAACAAAAACGATATACCGGCCCTATAATCTTATTTTATTAAGATTGGTAGAGTTTCGCAAATTTTTATTTAATTTTTTTTCTTGTCCTCCCTTTTCCCTAATTAGAGCAAATACTGATATTCCAAAGAACAATATATCGGTCTTACGACCTTATTTTATGGAAATTCTAAGAATTTCACTTTGAATATTATTTTTGTTGCTAATAAATGCGCAAATCAATTGTCAACGGTTCTGCATAAACATAAATTTGAGTAAAGACCGATATATCGTCACATTTATTTTTATGTTTATACTCACATTTATGTTTATATCGATCCCATGGCGATTGATTGGCTCATTTATTATCAGTATAAATAATATTCCACGTAAAATTCTATGAATTATGATAAAATAAGGCCAAAAGGCCGTTATATCGGTCCATGGGATGGACCTAAAAACATTTGAAAGAAGTCAAGCACAAAATTAAATAAAACTCGAGATTGGTAGTTTGAATTTTTTGTATTTTTTAAAATAAAGTCTTGAGGTTAACGCGTGAGCTCAGCACCGCCGTTGCCTGATATATGAGATAATTTTATACAAATATGTAAGAGTTCACGTCCTGGTGCCATGGGGATACTTTTTATTCTGGTATTAACGCCCCCCCCCCCTCTCTGGCCCAGGAAAACGGCCTATAGTCTAAAAGACGAGGAAGAGGTGGACATTGGACTCTTCGCTCAAATTGATGTTTATGCCAATACCTTGGAAACTGATTTACACATTTATTAAGAATAGAAATAATATTTATTCCGCTTGAAACTATTATTACACATTTAACTATTACACGTGAAATAATATTTATAATCATGATAAAATTAGGTCGTAAAGCTGATATATTGGTGTTTAGAATATCGGCATTTGCTCAAATTTAGGATAGGAGGATAAAAAAAAATAAATAATATAAATAAATTTTTAAAAATGGCCTGACTGTACTAATCTCGATACGTTGAAGTCATCAGGCCGGTGTACCTTGATGATTGACTGAATCTTTCATTCAGCAATTACGAGAATTGCTATGCGGTGTTGTACTGAACTAGACATACAGAAACGAATGGCCGATAGGCTGAAATATAGGTTTATCTATTTTTTATTGGTCGAAATTTGTGTATAGGCCGATGCGTAGATGATCTATTTATTCTTTTCTTTTGCAATGAGTACGATATTCCATGTGAAACTGTACAAATCTTGACGGAGAGCGAAAAAAAAGGCCGTCATATCGGCCTTTGAAATATCGGCATCGGCCAAATTTTCGATATCGGTCGATCCCTACAACTAACTTATAATTAGTAATAATAATAATAATAATAAGGCTTAGCGAACCCGAAGGTTCGATGCCGACACCACCAATCGCTTGTTACACACCTCCCTCCACCGTTCGCCGTCCAAACCCAGTCCCTTCAGATCGGCTTTAATGCAATCTTCCCACCTTCGCTTCGGTCTACCCCTCGGACGCTTACCATTCGGCACAGCAAATATTAACCTTTTAGGAATTCTCTCGTTACTAAGCCCAACAACTTTACAAGCCCATTTGATTCGCCGCGATGAAATTACATCAATTATATTACCCGGATACAGCTCACGCAATTCGGCGTTGTGTAACCGTCTGAACTCTCCGGTTAACTCATCCTTCTTCGGTCCGAATATTCTACGCAATACTTTATTTTCAAAAACCTTAAGACGCTGCTCATCCCTTAATGTAAGCGGCCAAGTTTCGCATCCATAAAGAACTGTAGGCAAGATAATTGTTTTATAGATTCTAATTTTTTAAGTTCCGGGACAAGAGGCGCGAACTAAGTAGCTTTGTCACAGAAAAAGCATTTCCCGCCTTCAGTCTAACCTTAATCTCTTCTTCAATTTCGTTTTTTCTAGTTATCGTAGAACCTAGATACCTAAATTTATCTACCTGTTCAAACATATTACCATCTATATCGATGTCACCAGTAGTATCGCCATTTTTGCAGCTAACCATATATTTTGTTTTATCCACGTTTATTTCGAGTCCTAGTTCTTTCCCGGCTTTCATTAACGTTGTCTTATTTAGTTTTATAGTTTCAACGTCTTCGCTTAACAGTACCAGATCATCAGCATAGCCCAGCACGGATGTTGTCCCGCCCAGATCCAACCCTTTCTCGGTTCGCATTACCTCCCTAATGGCATGTTCTAATGCCAAATTGAACAGGACAGGCGAAAGAGAATCCCCCTGTTTTAAGCCCGAACGAACCTCAATTTTTTCGGACAAATTATTACCGATTCTAACTTTATTGAGTGTCTCCGTCAAGCACATCCTGACTAGATTTACTAGTTTTTTTGGAATCCCCTGCTCAATTAGAATATTATACAGTTTCTGGCGGTCAATAGAATCGTAAGCCTTTTTAAAATCTATATACAGCTGGTGAACAATACAGTTATACTCCAATTTTTTCTCTAATATTTGCCGTAAAGAAAATATTTGATCAATAGTCGAACGATTCCGTCTAAATCCGCATTGGTAGTCTCCGATAATTTCCTCGGCGTATTCCGTGATTCGACTGGTTAAGATTGAAGTGAATATTTTATAACATACCGGAAGGAGTGAAATTCCTCGATAGTTATTACAATCCGTCCTCGGACCCTTTTTGTGAATCGGAATAAGAATAGATTCTTTCCATTCTTCAGGTAATTTCTCGTTCACCCAGATCTTTTTAACCAACCGATGTATTTTAGAAACTCCAGCTTCCCCGCATGCCTTAATTAGTTCAGTAGGAATATTATCGATTCCCGCTGCTTTATATGATTTTAATTTTCCGATAGCTACTTCAACTTCCTCTTTACTTGGTCCTTCTATTAACGGTTCAGCACTCTGGTACTCAGAAGGAGGACACAGATCATAATTTCCCGTATTTAAAATATTATCAAAGTGGTCCTTAAACTTATTCAATATGTCAACCGGATCGGTCAGAATATTGTTATTATCATCCCTAATTCCAGACGTTACGGCCCTACACATTTACGTGATCTGTTTATACCTTTGTACATGTCTCGTACGTTGTTTTCGATTCTATTAGTTTCTATTTCAATGATTTTATTTTTAAGATACTCCTTTTTTTTATTTTTGAGCAATTTTGTCGTTTCGTTCTTTGAGGTTCGGAAGTATTCCATATTGTCATCGCTAGGATTATTTAGAGCTTTTAATTTAGCGGCTTTTCTTTTTTCGCACATGTTTAAGCAATCTTCATCAAACCACGGTTTGTTATTCTTAGTTTCCTTTTTTCCTAGGCACGAGTTACCGACCGCTTTTATATTATCCCTGATCTCTACCCATAACTTGTCAATATCCTCGTGGTCCTCGTCAGGAAGCTCTAAAGCTTCAAACCTATTCTTAACATCTAAGCCGAATTGGTTTCTAATTGATGGATTTTTTAATTTTTCCAAATTAAAATTCTCAAAATCGAAACGGTTTTCTTTTCTCTTTTTTATATTAAGATTTTGTAGAAGTTTCGCGATTACTAATTCATGATCCGACCCACATTCTGCTCCGCGATAAGACCGTACATTGATTATACTGCTTTGCCAGCTGTGTTGTATCAAGACATGATCTATTTGATTTCGTGTTTGCGAATCCGGTGATGTCCAAGTATATTTATGAATACCCTTATGTTTAAATGTCGTACTTTTAATTATCAGGTTTTTCGAGATGGCAAAGTTTATCAGACGGATCCCATTATCATTAC